TTTTTKGKTWTTTTYTTTGAGAGTCTTTATTRCACAGAAGATTTYTAAAGAAAAGAATAAATGGTAGAATTCTGTTATTGTTAGTCTTTCCAAACAGAGCAGCAAATAGGTATTTCCTGTAAATGTTATCAGTACAATGGATCATAGTTGTAGAGGTGCTAATTTGTCCCATAGTGTTAATTTACACTGCTAGCTCCTGGTATTAATCTGGTTACTTTCTACAGTAAATGCCATTTATGTTAATAGGATTTGTCAGGTAATTCCTTAGTGAAGAATTCTAGCCTTGTTGTCTTTGAAAAAAAAGAAAACTGATTAGAAATAAGGTGCCCTTACAGCAGAGCTTGGGAAAATMATTAATGTATTTTGTTTATAACACATGCCCAAAAGGTATGAAGGTAAGAAGGTAATTTGGCTCCAAGTTAGTAATGTAGAAACAGCCCAGCCTGGCCTCTTAGGTCTGTGGGAGAAGAGTTTTAAGTGGAAAGAGCCCTGGGGGCTGTTTTTAATTGTATCTCCTTGCACAGACAAAATGGTTATGATTGAAAAAAAGAAATATTTTTTGTTATAATTGCAGTAGGAGAAATTTTTTTCATTGTGAAATGTAAAAGTAAATTTTCTCTATAACTCTTTAGGATGGAACTCTTAACTGTATGTTTTTATAGATGTGTGTATCACCTGCAAATTGTCAAAGAAAAGCACCCCTTTGTAATGTTGGCTCATGAGACAGATTTACATCATRGAGCTCTAGTGACTTCTGAAGAATTTGCAATATTTTTTCTTTTGGGGAGGATTATTGTTGGGATTAGTGTCTACCTAATGAGTGGAATCCTCTCCTGTATCCGTATCTATCTGAGAGGCATCCTGGTAGGACTTGTGCATTCGAGGTTGCCAGGATCTGGACTGTGCTTTAGCTACTAAAAATGTACTTGAGTTAGCTGTCTGGGTGGAAAATCCTGGTAAGAATCACTGTAAACAATTTCTTTCCAATGTTATGGCAAGTGAAGATTGTTCCCATATTCCCACTTAACCCTGGTATGTGCCAACTGGAGCTTGGCTTAAATCCTATTAAAACTACAGTGCTCTTTCTCCACTCAGACTGTGACCATTATCCTGATTTCCAAATACATCTTTTGGGGCCAATTCAGGCAAATATTTTGCATGCTTACATGTTGCAGGCAAGCTTCCAGCAATATACATAAAATGTACTGGGCAGCTTATGCTATCTATCCCTTCCTTCCACATGTTGCTAGTACTATTTTCATAATTTAATTTTTTTTCTCAGATGGAAGATGCTTTGTGGTTTACGTGTTTTTGAAGTGCAAGGAGCTTTGGTTTCATGAGACAGAAGTGCATTCATGGGAAATATTTGCATGATGTTTGAGATACCAGAATGGTTAGGGGTTTGGCAGAACAGTCCCTCTGCTCCCTCTTTTTCCTGCAAAGGTGAAGCCAGTTTTTTGGTTTTTCAGCAGTTTGTGTACATACTTTTGAAGGTCAAGGGCTTATTCATGCATTTGTCTTGGATTTGCAGGRTGACAGTGCCATAAAGACTTGTCGGTGAAAGGGACAACAGGATGTAGCAGCTGTGGAGTGGAAGCAGTTCAGTCAACAAAGTTATCAGTTTTTCAGTTTCTGATTTSTCCTGAGTAACTGTTTATATCCTCTGATGGGGAAAATAGGGGGCAAAGCTGCTTTTCATGCCATGAAAGACACAGTGAGGAGAGGAAGTCTTGGTGAGAGCAGCCAGAACTGACAGTGCTTGGCATCGCCACGGTGCTYCGCGAGTGCCTTGGTGTGGCTCCAGCATCTGAACAGAGCTGGCTGTGCTTCGTGGGCATTGCAGGGTCATTCATGTTTCAAATACCTGCAGCAAGCTCATGCTCCTGTGGAAATTCTGACCTCTATCAGTCTGGTCAGAGATTTAAAGTGCTGTTACACATGCTTGCTCCTCTCTGCAGTGAGGCAYCCTGGGGTGGATACTCCTGAGGATCACTGCCAGGATGAGGAGCAAGCACTGGTCACATCCTTCACCTCTCATGCCTGAGCCTTGGGGGGTTATGCTGTAACCACCTCCCATTTTAATTACRGCACTATTTAAAGCAATGTGTTTTCTATCTTTTGCTCCCAGAAAAGTCATCCCTGGGTTGATGAGTTTGTCACAATTAATTAGTATCAGTGTGTATAGTAATCAAAGAAAACAAATGATCTTTACAAAATTCTGAGTGCTTTGGGTTTTTTTACCTTTTTAATAATTTCCCCATTCCTTGACTCTGAAGCATTATTTGAGATAGAGATTGCATTAGTCAAAGTAGTAATTTAAATAGGAGTAAAAAGTACTTTGTTTTACAGGTTAAAAACAAAGATTCTTCCACTCATTTATATAAATAATTAAGATATTTCATTGGAGTAATTGCTTTCTAACTCAGTTTTTAAAAGTGCATTTTAGTTTTTTATATTTTCTTTTGCCCAGTTGCTGATGCAGATAGGGGTGATGCTTACCTTACATCTTATATGAARTTGCTTGTATTTGATGTGATATGAGTTCTTTGAATGCTACTTACATTTCTGCTCTGAAGTTTGTATCAGAACAGGTCTGGAACTGTGCTGCACCTGAGGAACTTACAACCTTTGACATCAGTAGAGCTGATGTGCAGTTTGTGTCAGTTGAGGATCCATTTCAGTATCTCTTGTGGAATCTACCACAGAAAAACAGCAGCCCTTTCTCACCCATTGTTTGCTACAAGAACAATTTTGAGATATTTGGGCTCTTCTGTTTTGAGTTGCTTTTTCTCTTTTAATGCATTAACTCAGCATTTCTCATTAGGTGTGAGAGTGGCTGTTTGATACTTCAATAACTTGGTATAATAAGCAACTGATAGCTTTCTGACCTACTTATTCACTTCGACTTCTTGTCCCAAAAATAAATTACAGATTTACTGACGAACTTCAAAAAGTCTTAAGCAATGAGGAATGTGACATGTATAATAGGGTAGTCAAATGTGCCTGTAATGCAGCATGTGTTGCTGGCAAYGGGTGTGACAGTGATATATGTGCCCGAGCACATATAAACAGAGTTAAGCAGGGTCAGACAAGCATGTTGACTGTGCTAAATCACTGCATGTGTCTGGCAGGGGCTGTGTTGTAAGTGCTTAAGACGGTTCTGAGCTTTCTTTTCCCTTGGGGCCGTGTTGTGTAGGGATAGATYTGCTCAAGGGAGGGGACAGTAGCGACCCCTGGGTGGATGGACTGGGAGAAAGGGCCTGCTTTGTGAAGCTCTGTGGGCTCTTCRTGTTTCTCTGGCCGAGGAAAGGCCTTCTGCTCTCATACAGCCACAGTGCTGAGCAAAGTCAAAGGTGGCTTTATACTCAAGCTGAACACACAGCTGATGTTACACACWGTTACTTAGGGTATCATTTTGACTTGTATTGTATTGTCCTGCAAAAGCTTTTTTTGTCCTGTTACTCATACTGCTGAATTGTCAGAGGGCATAAGGTAAATTGTATTAAAGACAGTAKCTAATAGAACAGCCCAGGTTGGAAAGGACAGGTGATCATCTGGCCCACCATTCAGTGGAACAGGGAGCCTAAATGACACAACCTAGCACCATGTGCAGCTGCAGCTTGAAGGCCTGCAATGGTGAGGACTCTRCATGTCCCTGGTTGTTCCAGGTTGTTCCAGGGACTGAGTGTTCTCACTGTAAAAAAAAAAAGTTATACACACACACACACMCCCATACAAATGGTCAGCTGTGAAAATAAAACTGACCATCCCTGTGCTGTCCTGGTGCAACAGGTGACTCTTACGTTTTGTTATCTTTTACCCTTCTGTAAGAGTATTTTTAATGTCTAACTGCTGTTTGCAAGCACAGTCTTGTAACTTGGTTGAGAAAAGAGGTGCAACTCAGTTTTGCCTTGTGAGAAAGCTGTGTCAGATGGGTAGGCTGGGAAGTGAAGTGTTACTCAACTGTGCTACAACTCCTCCTGCAGCTTGTTCAGAGTTGTCATGTACACTCTTTTAAAATTGCGTGCATACCTCAGCACATTGCTGGCTTTAGTGGAACAACATGTGGCTCAGTGCTGATGGGAATACCATCCTGCATAATACTCGACTGTTAAGTTTCTTCCAGCCGCATATTTCACTTTAACTGTTTGGTGCTGAACGCAGCAAAAGTTGGACACATAAAAGTCACAGTGTTAGATTGACTCTTTGGTTTTAATGAGCTGGGGGGAAGTTTAATTTGCTGGCCTGCTTTTCCAAGCCTGTGCCAGACTTTTGACAGAAAGGAAAGATTAATGTTGGAGGCTGCAGTGTGGCACTGACTGCTATAGAGCGCTCCACACCAGCCCACCAGTGGGACCGTGCGGTGATTTGCAGTACAAGGGAAGGCTTTGTCTGCCTTTATCAAACACCACATTTCTAACGAGCTGCTTGCCAGAAAAGCACAGCAGGCGTGCTAGAAATAGCCCTTCCCCTGCAAGGGAACTGCTTCCATGAGATGCAGGATTAAATGAATTTTCCTCTGTTTCTCTGGAAAACAGATTCTATGCATTATTCTTCGTAACTGAAACTTCCTTGTATAAAGATACTCTATTAAGAAAGTGTCTGCAAAACTTGCTTAATCCAAGCTTCTAGTGAGATTAGAACTAGTCTTTGTAGGGTTTTTCTTGGAAGGGGGTGGGGGGACCAAAACCACAGCAAATCAYTTTGGTCAAAGACCAGATTGCCTGATTGAGCTGTTTAAGCTTGGTGAAGTATAAAAAGTAAGTTACAGTCCAATGGTGAAAATTAATTTGAATGCACAAAGCACTTGTAAGAATCACTTGCTGTGGACTTGATCAGTTTAGCATTAAAGTAGTAAGCCCGTGGCAAATCTGAAGGGGAAACCTCTATAAAGTATGGTTTACTGAGAAAGTCTTGTGAAAACAACATTTTTTTCTTTCTTTTTATATGCTGTAAACAGTCTCCCTTTCCCTGGCTAGCAAGGGAGATTGACRGATAGATAAAGGTGTTTGAGCCTGTGTGAGCTGCCTGGACTAACTGCATCACATAGGTTTGGTGTGCTTGGGGGCTCTATAGTAGTACCCCAGCCTGCACAGGCAAGGCTACCCAGTCCTCTTGGGAGCTGCTAACATTTGAAAAATKATAAGCTGTTGGGATGGCTGTTGCTAGCAAGAGGCACTCTTTGTTTCTCAAGGAGTGGGAAAGTGACTCTAAGTGAAAGTATTCGTGTAATTTTATTAATATCAATCATTCTGGCCTCAGTTTCCCTCTTGCATGGTTCCTTAACTCRGATAAATTGGTCAATTTTCTTATAGTAATTACTGCCTCATGCTGGCAAGGGTGAGAAAGGCTTGAGCAAAACTTGGTGTTTGCATTTCGTAGAGTATTAGAGCATGAGGTGAACCACAGGTTCCTTCTGTGTGCAGCACTGTCTTATGTCTAATTGTGTTCCTTAATTATCTTCTCTTTACTGCTAAATTGAGGGAGACTTGGGTTGCTTTTTTTTTCTTTTGCCCTTTTTAGCATCAGTGCTTGCTGTTACAGTTTTTTTTTTCTTTTTGGTACGTTGAAAGGGGGTGATTTCCTTTGAGSATATCACTTGGGAACTGTCTAACTTTAAACTCTCTTGTGGAATGGTAGTTCCAGGAAAGACGGAATGTTGCTGGCAGGCAGTGAAATGAGGCAGTGCAGGATGCAGCTTTTGGAAGGAATAAATCTTCCATCCTGCTGCAGAAAGGAGAAACTGAGAGAAATGAAGGAAAAGGTGTGAGACTGCCTGCATCTACACAGGAGAGGTTTAGGGCTCTTTGAGGTAATAGAGGGATACAAAGAGCCATATTCTTTACAAGAGACAAGTGTCTTTCCTTTCAACCTAAGAGGAGTGGCAATGCTGATGTGTTTGCTGTGTAGCTAACTGCTCTGTAGACAAGGGTGCACTYGCCATATTTCCAGGATTTTTCTCATTTAAATCTGGTTTTATTGCACTTGTGCCCCAGGAATGTAGCCATGTGTGCTTGTATGGGAGATGCAGCACAAGTGGGTCGAGCTGAATGCAGTGGGTGCGATTGCTCATTTGTTTATATGTAGTTTCTGGCCCTTTCATCTCCATAAAGCAGAACAAATGTGGCTTTTGATGATGAATTGCCAAATTTGGCTGAACGAGTCAGCAGAGCACAGCTTTCTGAACACTTGTGAGCATCTGACTGAATGAGTGATGGTTGTCTGAATGAATTGTGCTTATCAAGTTATGACAAATCAACGTGTTTCCCCCAAGTTCAAGATTCAATTTTTCATTGCCAAGAATTGCAGTTTGAAAATTATTATTCCTTCTCTTTTCTTCTAAAGGGTTTGGAGCTACTCTTGCCCACAAGCCTGATATACCCTCCACAGAGGTTTCTCCTCCTAGTCCCAGTCCTCTGAAAAAAAGTGGATCAATCAACTGGCCTTTCCCTGATAAAATAAAATCTCCCAGGACTGTGAGGAAGCTTTCCATGAAAATGAAAAAGCTGCCAGAGCTGAGCAGGAAGCTAAGTGTGAAAGGAACTTCAAGCCATAGTAGTTCAGATAATCCTCCTTCTCTGCTGAAAGGTAGCTGCCGGGATACAAGCCATACAGTATCTTTGCCTTCTTCGGGAAACTCRACCACAGCTGCCAGCAGGAATGTGATAAGTCGTTACCATCTTGATAGCAGTGTGTCCTCACAACACACCTACAAAAAAAAGAGCTTAAGGAGCTCCAAATCCTTTAACAAAGGTGGTTACCTCAGTGATGGTGACTCTCCTGAACTCATAACAAAATCAGGTAAACACAGRCATGAAGCCAAGTGTGGGAAAGGAAAGGAGAGTCTTCCAAGTAACAGTGGTAAACCYGAAATAGATATTGATGCCTTCAGACACTACAACTTTTCTGATCAACCCAAGTGCTCTCAGTACATCTCTGGACTCATGAGCATTCACTTTTATGGTGCTGAAGACTTAAAGCCACCACGAATAGACTCAAAAGATGTCTTTTGTGCAATACAGGTTGACTCAGTAAACAAAGCAAGGACTGCCCTGCTTACATGTAGGACAACRTTTCTAGACATGGACCACACATTCAACATAGAAATCGAAAATGCTCAGCACTTAAAGCTGGTGGTGTTCAGCTGGGAACCCACCCCACGGAAAAACCGAGTGTGTTGTCATGGAACTGTGGCTCTCCCCACTCTCTTTCGGGTCACCAAAACGCATCAGCTGGCTGTCAAACTGGAGCCAAGGGGGCTTATTTACGTCAAGCTGTCACTCATGGAGCAGTGGGAGAACTCTCTCGATGGCCTTGACACAGASCGGGAGCCTGTGATGTTTGGGGTAGATGCTCGAAAAGTTGTGGAGAAGGAAAATGCAGGCTTGATGGTGCCACTTTTGTTGCAGAAATGCATTCTGGAGATTGAGAAGAGAGGCTGTCAGGTACTGTGCATATTTTCATCTCTTTTGTCAATATTTCTGTGTTGAGATAGCTGTTGTTGCAGTGTGAGCAGTGAATGGAAATGGGGGAAATAAAAAGCATCTTTACAAGTCAGTTTTTTTTTTTCCTTTGCTGCTTCTATGTGGTAATCACTGACCACTGTAATGTGGGAAGAATAACAGGGCTGTRTCCAATCAGTGCTTCCAACTTGGCCTTTGTAGTGGAGAAGTACACTCCACAGGAGCTGCTCCCAGAGCTTTAGGAGTGGGGATGGTGAAACCAACTTGCARCCCTTAGTGTGTAGGGTCACCCTCAGAAAGCTGAGGTCACTTGAGAACTTGGGAATGCTTGACATGTATCCCTCTGGAGGGAAACACATCTAAATGCAAAAATTATATGGTTCACTGTTCCCTCCAATCCAAACCTGAGACATCATGTGCAGTAACATGGTGACAAGGAGCACRTTTTTGGTACAGTCTGAAGCCAACATGCCTAACACCCATCTCTCTCATTGCTTGGTCCCTGAAGATGAGTCCCTGAGGAGCTGAATTAGTTCTTTCCCCACACCAGTGCTTCTTGTCAGTCTTCAGGTTGTTCTCAAAATTGGCACTGCTGCAAAGCAGAAGAGCCCAGTGTCTTTTTTTATCCMAATATAGTTTTATTGGTTGATGTAATCTAATGAACAAAAGTGGGTATGAGAAATGTCGTATGGAAAGAAATCACCAGTTATAGATGCTAGACAAGAGGTCTGTTAGGAAGAACTATGCACAGTCCTAAGATCAGATGTTCCCCTTGGTAATGAATTTGAAGCTKGTGGGAGGACTTTGCATGCTGTTCACAGCATGTGTGAGCTCTCCTTGTCTTTAGCACCTGTTCTCAGGTAAAATTGAGAAGTAGCCACACCTACCACTGTTACTATTTTAAATTGCTGACTGGTTGGATATGCTTCCAGGTGTAATGAGATTAACTGTGCTGTTTATAACCCAGGTCATGAACTATAGAGGGAAATGGTACTTCTGTGTAGCCCTTTTGCTGAAAGTCACTGCTGATAATAACTGTGATTTTTCATGTGAATACTTCTCCTAACATCCAAATCACTGGAAAAGAGAAGTTTTATTCTTACYAGTGTATGTGTCCCATGGTTTTAGCCTTTTATTATGGGTTTATTAGCACCTAGACATGCAAATGATGTTGGGCAATCAAGGCAACACTGGTAATGAAGCAGTTGGAATCTGAGTTGTCTGAATRTACTTGGTGCTTTTGAGCATGGAATCTATTTTTGTATTTCCACAGAGTGAACCAAAACTGAAAAATATACTGTTAACTTCTTCTTTTAACCACATGCTCATCTGACATTTTTTACTTCCTATAGACTGCAAAMTACTGTCATGGAGCATAATCTCCASTTGAATTTCAGTTGTGGCATTAGAAAACTTTAAAAGTGTAAAGGAAATTGGCTTAGGCATATACTAGATTGTATTCAGTCTTGAGAAAGGGGCGGTACAAATTCCATCAGGTGACTTTCCATTTATTTAAATAGAATTTAAATATGACCAGAAAAATACTCTTGCTTGCAGACCTGCATTCTCATGATCTTAAGGCAGTACATGGAAGTTTTYGGTTTGGTTTGGTTTTAGGTATTTTTTGTCTTTACTCCATGGTAGTTTTGAATTAACCTTTTACTGCTCAGTACAGCTGCCTATAATGTTAATTGAAATAAAATGAATATTTTTAAGATTTCGTTTTGTAGGATCATAGGAGTGCTTTGTATAAAAGGTGTTGATCAAAATGGATGAAAATGAAAAATAATGATAAAATGGAAAATTTGAATACATGAAAGCACATGATTTAACTGGTAATTCAGTTCAAGAGTGGTATGGATTTTACTCCTATTACCTTAAGATTCTTAAATAACCCCTGTTTTGCAGAAAACTTTAAATACCATTTGAAACACATAGAAGTCAGCATCTTGTCATCTTTAAAACAACATATTCTAGGTGTAATAATGGAGTATTCATAATTAACTTGAAATTCTTTGAAATTCTTTTTAAGGGTATAAAATTAATTTTTAATTTTTTTACTATACAATTTAATACTGTGCGAAAGATGCTTTGGTTTATTTTGGTTTTGTGTTGWTTTATTAATTGATTTGTAACTTCTWATTTTTAGTATGGAGTCAGTTGCATGACTTTTTTTCTGCTAATGATTAACAAGTATTGTGGTATACTGTAATTTTATCTACATAAAGCTCTAAACACATCTCACTTCTTTCTGCTGAAGCTTAAATGCTATTTTGTATAATTAAACAATTATACCAGGAAAAATAATGATGATCTGAATAGTAGGGSAAGATGCAAACATATGTTTAATCTGTATTTCTTTCCTGAGTTTGCGTAAAAGCAAAACATGAAACAGTTCCAGTTAAAAATTTGTGTTATGTCAACAAAACACTGCTCAGCACATCCACTGTTGTGAAAGCAGGAGCATCATTCAGTTGCTGCTCAGCAGCCCCAGCCCCCGTGTGTCCTGTCCATACCGTGTGTGATGATGGTTTGCAGTTTGGCTTTCCCCAGCTGGCATTCCCAAACAGCTCCGGGTGACACTGCACACGGTGACAATGGCCGGTCCCTCTGCAGGCCGGTGACTGACGTGGGGCCGCTGTTTCTGCTCGCAGGTGGTGGGTCTGTACCGGCTCTGTGGCTCGGCAGCGGTGAAGAAAGAGCTKCGGGAGGCGTTTGAGAGGGACAGCAAGGCTGTTACCCTCTGTGAAAGCCAGTACCCAGATATTAATGTCATAACAGGTAACACATTTACTTGCTTTTCTTCTTCCTCATGTGCCTTTTGAAAGGTGACATTGTGCTTTGAACTCGTTTCCTGTTGTCATTTTAGCAAGCTTTTAACTGCTCTGAAAGCTGTCTGGGAATGGGCGCAGTTACTTTGGGATATGTTTGTATGGATGAAGCAGCAGTGATTTGTAGGGAGGGGAGGGCATGGAAGGACCTGCTTTCAGTAACTGCTCCACCAGTTACAGAGGGAAGTGGGAGTCCAAAAGGAGCTGGTTAAACCTCTGCCAYTGGTTTGTGTTGGAGCAGATCTGGAAAAGCTTGGTTGTGATCAGTCACGTCTTCTGTGCCAATGGCTCCACACCGTGTGACCCAGGGCTGTCTTGGATCAGCTGCTGTTCTCCCCTGTATGTTGGAAATTGCAGAAGCTGTGGAAACAGCTTGCCCTTTGTATTGTGCAGGCCAGTTAGAGCTGTGGGAAAATGCCTTCATTTGATCACTGCTTTTTTAAAAAACTTTACTAAACTTTATCCTGCTCCCTGGAGTGGCCCTTTACTTGGTGTCACACAGCAAGCTCCAGACACAGGCGAAGCCTGTCTGTGTCTACATTAGCTCCTTACATGGGTCTCTTCACAGGAKTTGCACTGCAGAACTGAAGTAAGTTGTTGAGGGTTTTTGGTTTGCTTAAAACTGGAACAGTTTTATAACTATTGATACTTATATAAGCTAAAGTTGATCTAATTTCAGGCATCACTGAGTAAGCCAGTTGCTCTGGGAAATTAGTCAGAAGCACTCACCGCCTGTATATCAAGGGATAGAAAATGTAACGATAGTTGGAGTATAAATTTTCTGTACCAAAACCGTTCCTATAATATCTAACATCCAGCTGTATAGGAGAGTTATGTGCTGTTTGGTGGTTTATTTCATTTCAGTGCACTGGTAATTAATTCATTACATTTTATAATTATGCAATGTGTTATCAGAAGACACTATTCAATGACATTTACTCAGTTACATAAACCTCTTGGTTCAGAGACTGCAGCCAGTCAATTYGCCTTTCTTGCCTTGGCTGATTTTGCTRTGGGGTTCAGTGTTGTTCACAATTACCAGCATTCTCAGCATCAGAAACTTGTATTTATACAATCATRGAATTGTTTGGGTTGRAAAGACCTTTAAGATCATCAAGTCCAGCCATTAACCCAGCACTGTTTCACTCTGATGTTATGCAGCTTTTATAAACAAARTRTGCAGTAAAGGTAAAAAGTAAAAACGGTCTTTTAAACTGGATCATTTTCTTCTCTTTACAAATGAATTAAGGAGAAAAAGTGGTGGGAACCTCTAAGATCAGATTGTTCCATGAAATTACTGAAGTCCTGTTTGCTGAATTTTTTCATCAGTCCACTCATAAGGTGGAGTAAAACCCCTGTTGCTTTCTGCCAGCAGCTAAAGCTGTCTGATGCTGACTTGTAAGCAGACAAATGGCAAACTGTGATTTGGTTAATGTAAACTTTGGCTTACTGGAAAACTTTGTTGTTACTTTAAAAAAAAAATTAGTTACTAAAAATGGCATTGCACTTCCATGTTACAAGTAATCATTAAAAGAGTATTTGCAGAAACGGTTCAGGAGTATAGTGAGGAAAGGATGTAGGATTTTAATACTTTTCCATATACAAAAGAACCTGTAACATTTCCTAAGCATTTTGATTTTCCTGAGTATATTGTATACTGAGAACCAACCAGAACTCGACCAACTTTGGTCAAAGCCAAAGTCTGAACTGCAAGAGAACCCAGTGCTACTGCAAAGCCCGGGAAGGGCAGCAACACGGTCTGATTGATCTGTCCCTCGTGAGCTGGTGCTGTGGTGGTCAAATTGAGAAACAGAAGTATACATTTCCATATATATTGCTCCAAGCCTCGTTGGTGGTGGTGAACTTTTGGTGACCATGCAGGTCTGGCTTGGTGGTGGTACTACCRGAGGATAATTTGCATCCAGAGTCTGCATTGCAAGAGTGAAAAGACTGCAGCTTTGTTTTCTGCCTTACAGAAAGTCTACTGGGTGTGCTTTTGGATGCATTCTGTTGCTAAAGTTTGCTTACATGCTGCTTTCCTTACAAGGGAAAAATAGTTTTAATAAATGACATTAGAAAAGCAGATTGTTTTCCCTGGTAGCCCTGCAGCTGTGCTGTACCAGTGCCTGCATTGTCTGTTGCAGTGTTGTGCTGCGGGAGCAGGGAGGGACGGGGTGTTGGCACCCAGAGCTTCCACTGGTCAAAATGCAGCCACTYTAACTACTGGGAACTGCCTGGTGTGGATTGATGGGGGAACCTACAGCTTTGTGGACAATGAGCTTAGTGGAAAGAACAAAAGAGCCCACAAAACTTACTGAATGTGCTTAGGGAGTTGGGTTGAGAGGGAATGTTTCCCCTGATTACTTAATGCTGAGGCTGATGCACATGATTCATACTTCTATCAGCCAAAACATGTGTTCCACAGAATATGAATCCTCAGCTGATATATATTCCTCAGCAGAATATAAATCTTGGCTGATTTGAAGAGAAGTGCTGCCTTACGTCCTTTTTGAAATTTGAGTAGCGCTCCTCTCCAAAAAGATGAATAATTTTTTTTGACAGCTCTCCAAAGACTAAAGAATGAACATTTAATGATTAAATTTTGACTGAGAAATTCCGTTGGGATTGGCACAGGCTTATTTATACACAATGAAGTGGGCTCTTGGATCAAACTGAGGCATGCAGGCAATTCATGGAACTCACCTGTAGCTATATTGTTGCACCATGTCTGTTGGCATCCACATGAATTTGTATCTCTGCATAAAGCTTGCAATAYTCTTAACAGTTCAGTGGGTCAGAAAAATGAGGAATTAATGAAGTGGATTGCAATTTCTGCTCTCTGTCTAAATTTGTTGTGTGTGGYTGTGTCAAGAGGAATGTGCTAGTGGGTCGACAGCAGCGGGAAGCGTAGATTTATGGAAAAAAATAACAGCAGCCTCTTACAGGGCTAATTTAGCTGAGTGAATAGCAAAAGGATTTAGAAAGGTCAAGGGGCATTMATGGCTGCCAAACCATCCTGTTATCCAGGGCTGAACAGGAGAAAGTCCTTTGGCAGGTGGTCATCCTATGATTGTGGATGCTATTACAGGAATTCCTGCTAAATAATCACTAAYAGACAGTTGTGAGTGTTTCAACAGTGTAAGCTGATTTGATTAGAACATACCATTTCCTCCTGTAAGCTGATTTGATTTCAGCCTCTGCCTCCAAAAAAAAGCACAACTGAAACAGAGATCTTGACAGAAGTCAGCATCTCTTGCTGATGTTTTGCTTATGAAAAAAGRAAAATATCCCAGACCATGTTGTACAGGACGAGCATCAGCCACATTTGTTTCATAAACATTTTAACCAGCTAATCCACATAGGGAACATGAGCCTCTAAATTCAGGGAAGAAAAAATATTTGGTGGGAAGGGAGGAATATGAGTAAGTTACTAAACAAAAACTAGCCGCTTAAATGGAGAACTACCAAGAGTACATATTCTTTTTAAAGCAAACAAAAAGCCCCACCAAACCACCAGGGGGAATRTTTTTTCAGGAAAAAGTGGTTCACATATTTTGTATTTGTGAGGGGTTGTTCCCATTTGAGGCACAGAGTGAGCTGGAAGCTGTGTGGTTTCTGCAGAGATGGTTTTGCCTGGCTGCCACATGCCCCTGCTGCTGGGGAAGGTGCTTTGGCAGCTCAGGATCAGGGCACTGCTGCTTCAGGTAGTGCTGCTCCTGCAACACAGCTGCAGTAGCTGCACTGCTGCAAGGTCCAGGATTCTTTTTAAATGAAAATATTYATACAGGTAGAAGCCAACTCTTACTTGCATTCTGCATGTGAAGGGCAAARTGTTAACTTCTGGTCCCTGTACATTTTTAGAAACAACCTTTTAACAAAGCCCACACTGTCCAATTCATTTTACAGCTCAGTTACACAGACTTGAGTTAATGAAARCTGTTGCTTTGTTAAATAACACAGTGTGATGTTAATTGCTGTGATGTGAGATTTTACAAGGCTGTGAGAAGTGCCTGTTAAAAAATCTTCTGCCTGTCCAACTTCACCTGTTTAGAGGGCAGACTGCTTTGTTAACTGCAATACCTGTTTTTAAACAGTTTCTTTTAATACAGCATTTCTTCTTAACAAAATATTTCAATGCCATTGTGATTTAGCTAAAATTAGTAGATATTTGTGGCACAGAATGCATTTTTRTTAAGGAAACTAAAAGCTGCTGGGAAGCGGGCTTGTTTCCTTCAATTTTTTTGTTGGTCTATTGGATATTGCTCCTGGATAGCMTCCTTCTTTGTTCTTTCCAGAAGCTGCTGTTASAAGTCTTTGTATTTTGGGTTTTTCRTTATTATTCTTGYAATCACTGAAACCTCTCWCAAAATGAAGTRTCAGCCATGTTCCAGAGGCAGCTTACAAGAATGCAAGCACTCCWTTCCTCTTTGGAATTGGTGCCTTTTTGGTGTTGTCCTCCCATCCCTCGCTCCTGAGTGCAAGGTTTGTCACTGACACAGMGGGTTTTCTTACTGAGTGGGTGAAGTTGATGTGCCTTAACGCTCCCAAAAAATGCTGCAAAGTGAACCTGCAGCATGTTAAAGGCAGCTGTTGTTGTGTCTCATCAGGTGTCCTAAAGGATTATCTGCGAGAGCTGCCCTCTCCCCTGATAACCAAGCAGCTCTACGAAGCAGTGTTGGATGCCATGGTGAAAAATCCCTTGAAAATGACAGCAAACGGTTGTGAGAATGACCCGAGTGACTCTGAGCACACAGCAGCCCTTCTGGATTGCCTGCCAGATGTTGAGAAGGTGAGTAGTGTTAGCACATCCAAGTAAATTGCAGRCTTCAGAAAATAAAGGAACATTTTCACACTGGATATAAAATGTTTCAGGTCTATGCCTGTTTATCAGACCAAGTGGTCCACTTGGATTTGTGATGCACCACATATTTGAAAATACTTTCATGCTGTAGTGGAGAATCTGCATTGCTGAAATTGCTCTAGTTTTCAATTTTATATTGTTTCTTTAAATSTGTGTGAAAGGCTGTAATCACTGTTTTTACATGACTGCATCAATGATTATTCCTGTGTGTTGTCTTGTTCCACTTCTGTGGAGCTCTCTGATCTGTATGTTGTAATTACCTGGGCAAATCCATTCCTCTTTAAGTACCTGCAATAAAACCTTTACTTCTTGTGCTATGCAGTGTAAGAGAGCTGTTACATGCCCAATTCCCCTTTGTAGCAAACCTCAGGTAGGCTCTGCTGGGGGGGAGGGAGTGAGGAATCTGCACGGTATCTGGAAGCTACCTGGAAGCTTGTTCAGAAGCTGACATATTGAGGCTTTATTTTCTAATGTGCCTGGATCAGTTGTACTGCTTCTGCAGCCTCTCTGCCCTTCCTGATGTACCCTTTTCACTGTGAGAAAACTCACCCGTGTAAAACTGAGTTCAGGTAAGAAATAAGCTGAGTTTAACCAGAAAGTCTGTCTTAATTGGTCTGCTCTATCATAGGCAGTACAGCTTTTCTAATTCAATTCAGCACTTAKATGTTCTGTTGATGGGTGTTGATAGTTAAGCCAGAGCTATCAGCCTTGATCTTTTCACTCTAGAGCAGTGATCAGCAGCACTGTTGTCTAGTGTTTGGTTTCCTGAGCGTATTTTATTTCTTTAGGCTACCCTGAAGATGCTGTTGGATCACCTGAAACTGGTGGCTTCYTACCACGAAGTAAATAAGATGACGTGCCAGAATTTAGCTGTGTGCTTTGGCCCTGTGTTACTGAGCCAGAGGCAGGAGACCAACCATAACAACAGAGTCTTCACAGACTCAGAGGAGCTTGCTAGTGCCTTGGACTTCAAAAAGCACATAGAGGTTCTTCACTATTTACTTCAGTTATGGCCAGGTACTGTTTCATGGATCTGATGAAGGGAAAAAGTCAAACCATTGCTGTATGTTTTTATTGTGTGACACTGTACATTAATTCACAGGATGACTGAGCAGCATCAGAATTCTTAAAATGTGAGRTACTATGGCATCACCTATTAATCTGACTAAATCATGGCAGTTTTATAATAACCTCTTTGTTTTTGGTCACTTTGCTAAATGGGATGTTTGTTGGTTTCATTGCTTACCAGATGGCAGAGTTTGGGTATAATGTAATAAATGGTGRAGATTTTATTTGAGTAAAGACACTAAAAAAGAAACTCTGTGACATTAAGGTTTTTACATCTGATTAGAGTGTTTGGGGTTTTTTTTCCCAGCTCTCCAGTTTTGACCCAATGGGGTTAATTTATTTCTGCCCTTGTAATTGGGCAGAGTTGGAAACATCCTTAGAGTAAGAGTTCTGCAACTTCTACTTGTTTTTGCAGAGCTTTGCATAAGGAAAAACATTGCTGCTCCCTGATGGGCTTGAGGTGACTGAAGATGCTGCTGCTCCCTTGTCAGCTGCAGATGGGCAGCTCCAAAGCTGCTATCATCAAATATGAAAAAAAGCTTTCAGTCAGATCAGGGAGTCTGTGCAGGAGAGAAGGGACATGTAGGTGGACAAAGAGGGGACCAAGAGCTGTTTGGGCAGCAAATACYGTGCAGAAGCTAATCCTGAAACCCTGGGGATGGGTTATGGCATGGCTGCTGTGGACTTACAGCATGGCTCCAAAAGCAAGTGGATGTAGCTCTGCCCACGGGAGTGTGTATTGCTCTGAGGGGGTAGGAGTAGAGTGGGTAATAGAGTTTTCCTTCACTTAGAAGAAAAAGCCAGGTGCCATTCCTTGGCTTGCAAGAACTGTGCAGGATGTGGTGCTAAAAGGGAAATGAAACAGAGTAAAACAGTAAAAAATGCAGAGACTTGAGCAGGTGAACACCACACAGTGTAAACAGCGCACTTGGACTGAATGGAAGGATCACAGTCTGGTCCCTTATATTTAATCTTCTGTAGTTTGAGACAGCTTGATAACCAACATGTTGTGCAATACTTCAATTTCCGTATATTTCCAACCGAAAACAAATAGTCCTTGTTTGGTTAGACCATGTAACACTGGCAAGTTATTGTTAACCCATGGCCCTTTGTCTTAGTGGAGCACAGTCTAAACAGAAGGGGTTTTGTTATAGTAAAGTGGGGGGGAAGCTGTAAGTTATTGCATGTTACTGTGCAAGACATAAAGTGAAATCCCCTGGGGAGACCTGTAACGTGGACCCAGAAGGAGAATTGGGCATATTTCAGGACCGAGCCTTTGTGCTTGTGTGTGGGCAGTCTAACAAGGAGGGGGCAGATTGTGAACTGCCTGGGTTTGCGTGCACTGCCTTTTCAGCACTGAATGGGAATAGAAAGTCTCCKCTGCTCATTACAAGAAGCAATGGTCTGCATAAAACCAGAAGAAGCTTTGCAGCTCTAGCAGGCAAAGCTCAGTGAGGAGAGCTGTGCTGTGTGCTGTAGACAGCGGGTAACAGCCAGGAGCCTGTTAGTGAATGGTGTGCAATGGGGAGCCCAGGTAATGCTGCCAGCAAACCTGTGTGAGGGTACATCTACCATGGGCTTGTGGCTGCACAGAACAGCCACTGCCAGGGAGCTGCTTTAATAGCACAGGATGTTAGGGCACAAGAGAAGTGCAAAAGTTCGGCTCCTGTGTGTTGGCAGCTTCTCTAGGTGTTTCTCAGAGGTGATATTTTTGTCATGTTTTAACTCTTTTGCTGTGTCTACTCTTTGTTACTCCTTAGCCTGGATAAAGCGTGTGAGCTGAGCTGTTTGCTTTTCTTTCACCCAGAGCTGGATGGTGGTTAACTCATACTGTGAATTTAATTGGTGTTCTGGGAGTGTCTACTTTCAGAAAGGCTTCTCTGCTGCAATTTGAATCTGGCATGAATTTTCAAAATTGAGATTTTTCAGTAGTTTCTAATTATTTTATATCAAATAGTGGCAAAAAAGTGCAGTGTGTTGGCTGTAAGCTTGCATGTATTCATGAATTCTCTTAATGGAACATTGAGGGAGGACAGTGGGCATCTGCCATGGACTTCTTTGTTGCAGCATGGATTCASTTCTGACTGGTTTAACTTCTCTCTTCTAGTTCATCACTTGCCTGCCAAAGAACCAGCACATGTGAATGCATTTCCTGAGCACTCATCCTGCCTGAATTACCTGCGGCCCAAGAGGCAGAGACCGCAGCTGCTGAATCTGAGCGGTACCGAGATGTCGGGCGTGCTCAGACCACGGCCAGCAGGGCTGGACAGCCCGTCGAGCAACCGCTATGCTGGGGACTGGAGCAGCTGTGGGGAGAGCTACTTCCTRAACCCCAGAGACTGCCTGAGCGAGGCTGACTACGATGACGTCCCTTCGGAGGACACGGAGAGCGGYGATGACAGCAGCAAAGCCGAGGAGCCGGATGCCCCCAGCAGACGCCCACAGCCCGTCCCTGGAGAGCACCCCTTTGGGAGCTACCTGACAGTGCAAGCTATAGACTCTGCAGTGGATCACAGAGCACACCTCAAGGACCTGCAGGAAAGTATTGATACTCTCATAGGAAACCTGGAAAGGGAACTCAATAAAAACAAACTAAATATGAGTTATTAAATCCTGTCCTGCATGATGTCTCCTCCTTGTGCCTCCATGCCCCTTGATGGGCTTCCCTAGCTGTGTGAGGACTGATGGTGCCCTGTAACACCTTGTGGTAAGGCCGCAGCCCACCTCGGGTGAGCACATTTTAAGCCATTCCRTAATGTTTCTGCCTTTTTGTTAGGAGGCTTTGTCCTGATTTTTCTGTTGGAGACAAGCTTTGACTGTGATGTGATTCCACATAGCGGCATTTCTCCCTAAAAACACTATGCACTTAGGTGGCCTGGGCAATACCTGGTGGAAAATAAAGCAACATCTCTGCTGTCAGTGGCAGCAGAACTCCTCAATCCTGAAATCCTGGCTCCGGTACAGATGTTCCTCTCAGAAGAGGATGAGTGCTGCTTGGCCTGAGTTTTGCAGCAGGAACTTCAGATAGACTTGTTTTACTATATATGCAATGGCTGCTATGAAAAATGCTTTATATAATATTTATATATAAAGTTTTAATTGTACAAATATTAACGTATTACTGTATTAACACTTTTCAGTAATTATTTAAACAAGCAAAAATAAATATTTTTCTAACCTTGTTTGTATATATCTATGTATAAATGTGCATGTGTCTGTAGCCATCTTTGGAAAGGAAAGGTCTCAGAATTATGAAATGTTCCCATTTCTAGGAAGACATGTTCAGTGATGCCAGGACGAGGTTACCCTTTGGGTAACACAGCGTTTGATTTATGCACAGAAATATGGCCAGGGAGAAGGTAGGGTGAATGATTAACGGAAATGACCTTGTGTATTGCAGGAACAGTTTGCAGGTGTTGACTATTAACTCTCTCTCTCACACACACACACACACACACACACACAACGCTTTCTGTGTTTGATTTTGTTGTTTTTTTTTTTCACTTTATTGTTTGTTTCTTCCTCCATGGGTTTTTTTTTGCATCTAAAAAAGGTCTGAAGGGTATTTACTTTCCAAAAAGTATTTTTTGTTTGTCCTTGTAACTTCTTACTTCAGTACCTTTTTTTTTTTGCAGTTTCATATATTTTTGTTGTACCCTTGGCTCCTGGTGGTAGTTAGATGTGTTTRAGTCCTCTATAAAAGGTTATGGCTCTGGAATGCCATAACCAAGATTCAAGTTCAGCACAAAGCAAGTTACTTTTTGTTTTTTTTTTTTTAAATTACTCTCCCAAAAACGGAAACTAGATTTGTCACATGAGGTTGAATGGGTGGAGTGATGGTACTCTGGGAAGTTTGGTGGCACTGCCGTTCACTGTGACCTTATTAGACTCAGCTATCACCATCTGCTTGGAGCCTCTTTTATCTCTAGTCATTTATGGTGAGCCATTAAACATTTCACATTAAGGAAACACATTCTTGATTTAATTAAAAATGGTTATCACATTGTACACAGGTATTTTGATAGTCCTTCTAACCAAAAGGACACGTGGAGTTATTCCTTGTCCTCTGCAGGTCACATACACACCCCCAAGGAAGGGAGGATTTGTGCAGGTGGGGGTGAAAAGGTTTTGGTGTTTKGAGAGGTCAGACACAGAGTTGGTGTCAGCTGGCAGGATAGAAATTATTYGTGCATCTTTCTGGTACACCCACCTACTTTTGGCATCCCACCTGGCTTTCTGTTCGCCCTGTGGGTATGTGCTTTTCTGCTAACCTGTACTTCCTTAGACTGCTTAATTGAAGAGTTATTTATTTACAGTAGCAARGAATTAAGAATTGCTATGGCAAACTTCACCCCTCTTTTCTAAGGAATTATTTTAGCATGGTTCCAATGGTTTATTCAATCTCATTAATTTATTTTTATAAGTGTTAAAAGATGCAAAACAATTATWGCAATATAATGGTATGAATGAAAATGTAAATTTAACCTGAAGCATTTATCAATAAATCGATGTATTTTTTTAAACTTTTATACCTACAGAATGTGCATACTTTTTAAACTATAAATTTAAATTCTAAATAAAATTTGAATTAAGAACAAAACCTGTCTGTGCCTAGCTAGTGATTATTTAAACCTGTCTAAGCTGATGTCATCTRTTTGCACTGGCTGCACACATGAATTAATTCCATTATTCCAAAGACATTTAGCTTTTCAGATTTTTTGTTCTGTTGTCATTTCTAGATTGACCCAAAATTTGAGTTAGATAATTAAAAACAAACCACTACTCCATTAGCACTCTTTGAAAGAYGTTTGCATTACAATTTATTTATGTATTAATCTTTCATTGCCTGTAATAATCCAGATGATGTAAGTGGTCATCTCTTGAATTTGTGTAAGCTTTTTCTCCAGGAGGGGTCTGTAACTCAGGGCAGCAGTGCACTGCCCTGTCAACTTTCATATTTTAATATTACAACAGGGGAAATTAATGACTCGATAAATTGTATTCATGTTAATCTCACAAGATAATTAAAATACAGTAATAGATTGTATTGCTCAAATGAAACATTTCCTGGTAATTTAGTTGTAACAACTTGTAAAACACATTTTGTATTTTAGAAATCCTTTAATGAGACATTTCCCAAGTGGTATTTCTGTTAYGTTATCCCTTATGTATGTATTCTTGTAGATAGCATTGTATTTCATATGGTTGGTTATATAATCTGGTCAAGGTTCATTCTTTCCTTAAAGAACAGGACTACTATGGGAATTACCTTAATCWAGAAACACTAAATTGGGAGATTAAAACAACCTGCTTCTACCATAGCAGTAATTAACTCTTTATGCAAAAGGACGGCCCCTGGCTGTGTGTGGTTCCACAGCTTCTCCAAACCCTGTGGCYCCAGGAGGAGCCTCCCTGGCCGTGCTGAGCTGTGCTGCCTGCTCGGGATGGCTCTGTTTGGCATCAGGAGCAGCTCCTGTTCGCCAGGGACTGGAAGGGGTTAATGACTGAGGGCAGAGCCTTCGGGGCAGTTCAGAGAGCAGGCTGTCCTTGGAGTCCATGACTTCCTTCAGGTGTGACCTCTGCTTCCCGGGKGGAGGAAATGGGAGCGGGTGCTTTCACAGAAGCAGTTCCAGGGCTTGCACCAAAATCCCACAGGAATGGTTGTACCCACGCACAGGGATGGCCACGTGCAGGGCTGAGYACAACCAGGAATTGTGGTTTGTAGTCCCCAGGGAAGAGCAGMAATGCAAAAATGGGCCATCCTTTGGTGCCATTCTGTCAGGAATATGATACATTTAGGTGGATTTAGGAATGGACTAGGCCCATTTGTAGAGTTCTAATCCTTTCCTTTTTGTTTCAATAGGATTTTCCAAATTCCAAACACTGCTGGTGCTGTGTGGCTGTTCCATCTTTTCACTTCTCCCCCTTTTTAGCTTCCCAAAGTGCTTGTTACAGAAGCACGCAAGAGGTGGGTGGGGATGGTGTGGGATGTGGAATAGTGGGGTGGCATGACCTCATGCTGGCTTAAGCCACTGGGGACCTACATCCTCAGAAACTTCAGGCTTTTACATCTGTCTTATCCAAATGTRTAATGTACGTGTATGCTTGTAATGCACCAGGCAGGAAATGGATCTGCAGCTATTCAGACATTCTAAAAATAAAGGGAAACATCCTCAACAGATACTCAGGATTTTTACAGACTAAATCTATAGGTGTGATAAGCCAGAGATRTATGGTATTTCTGCTGTCAGATCCTAACTCCTCCACCATCCTCCCCTTCCCAGGGTATAGGAAGGGGATACTGGGATTCTTGACAGTAAGTGCATTTTGATATAGGAAGCTGTTGTCTCAYATCCTGTAGCTAACACCAGCTGTTAACTGGTTATTTGGGGTGGGGGGGGACTGAAGTTACACTGTCATGTAACTATGATACATGCTTTAAAATGTCATCCTACATAATGAATTCACTGTTTTCATTCAGCTTGACTCTTTCAGAACCAAGCAGGAAAACCTGTATTGTGCCTTAACAACATTTTCAGGGCAACAGCCAGACATGAAATGATGCAAAGCTGACCCTACAGGTACTTGAACATCTAGAATTGCATTAGTCAGAATAAAGGATCTTGATGGGATGTATAATGTCATGTCTCTTGTGTTACTTGGGGACAGAGATGAGGAGGAAAACAGCTTTTAGGAAGATTGTTCCCTTTCCACTGGGGCATTCCTGCAGCTCCCCAAACTGCTTTGATCTAGGGAAAAGGGAAAGGGATAAGCAGAGTCCTGATCCACTGCCTCTTTGGCTTTACTGTAAGAAAAACCCACCTGAAATCCCTCTGTCTACTGGAATATTTTCTTAATCAAAACTCTTAAGAGTGCCTCTGTGGTGGGGAACAAGGCTCCTATTGAGGCTGCTGCCTCTTCTGGRGAATAGTGACAGAGCTGCAGTGGAGCGGGGTGGCTGGGCTTGCCAGGTAAGCCATGACCATAGGATTGACATATAYATGTAGTTTGCAGCCCTGATAATCAAAAGAAATCTGCAGAAGATGCTCTGAGGTGGTATACTAATGAAGTCCAGGCCTGATAACAGAGAGGTGAGCTTTTTAATTAGTCAGTTGTGTGATATTTACATGTCTATGTAGAGCGGGCTGTTAGTTAAATATTGATTTAGCAGAGGAGCAGTGTTCTCTTCCTGTTTGTGCTCTGACTGCAAACACTGTGCTGCAGGGGCTAGGGACAGGCTTGTTGAATTTTCCTTGATTTTAATTTAGAGCTAGTTCAATATGAAGGAAAAGGAATATTGCTATAATATTTAAACTTGAAAATAGGAAACAAGAGACAGGACTCAGTTTGAAAAAACAATCCAGTGGCACCAAACCTCTCTTAAATCTGACCAAAATTCAATTAAAGTGCTAAAAGTACATGACAGGGAGATCCTGGCTGTAGAAAATTGAAGTGGCATGTCTTTAACACTGCCTAACCCCAATTTGCAGTGTTTATTTTGGGACACAGGAGCCTCACGCTGATCCTGYTTTCTCTGTGGCTGTGCTTTACTCTGATGAAGCAGAGCACTGGGGCTGGCTATTGCTTGTCAGCCGAAGATCCTCTCTGCAAATCCCCTGTGTGCCAGTTGTCTTTTGTGCTTTAGTGTCTACTGTGACCGCATGGACATTTGTTTGACAGGAGTCTGTGACCCTCAAACAGTTTGGTGAGTCATGGAAAGAGTGAACTCACCCGTATAGAGTTTAATCTGTCCTCTGATAGATTTAATTTCTGCTTGACAGGCTCTGCTCAGTTACATGGTGTCTGACCTGGCTATTGAAACCCAGCAGMAGCAGAAGCACTTACCAAAGAGTCCTCTCTGGATGGAGGGTGAGTGTTAATATTCATGAGCTGTTACTCATTTACACTGGTAAATATTAAAACTTCTGTAAAACACCATTTGATCTCTCTGAGGGATAATTGTCTTTTGACAGAAATGCACAGCTACAGTGAGCTTACTAAAAGCTGTTTGTTCTAAATAATACTGGTTTCTTTGAGGGAACAATATATTTTAATGGACTTGGTTTTTGGTTTGTAAGCACTTGCCAGGATTAAGTAACAATAAGTTTGTAAACTGATGATAGCAAGTAAAAGTGGTTCAGACTCCTGACAGACAGAGCTTTGAAAACTATTATTTAAAGAGAATATTAATTATAACTGTATCAATGAAAAATAGTGGGAAAACTGTGTCCAAATSAATTGTTCTTTAACCACACTGTGAGCAAACAAATGGATAAGGTTAATGAAACAATCATCTCTCACTGCAAGATTCTTTATTTGCAAAGCTAAACATGTTCAGCTGAAATAGATATTTAAATCAGAAGCTTGCTTGTTCTAAAGGTGATAATGGGATCTAAGCCTCCAATGAGGAAAATATTTCTTGCCTCCAAATCCATTACTGTCTGCTTCTCCAGCTCCAGCAACACAATGAGCATTTTCTTGATACTCCATGTCTTCTTTTGTTTTCTGTAGTCACGTTCTGAAGGAAAAATCATACCGGGCAATAGTACATTGTTAAGCTTTGAAACCTCTATGTGACCCCATTGCTTTCCAGTGGTTTGTATCAGTGCTAACACAAATTAATGAAAATAGGCAGCACATAGGGCTACATCAATCAACCAAAGAAATTACAATTATTTAGTATTCTTAAACCATTTACCAAAAAATAATTAAGCAAAATTCTTATGTGAGTGGAATGGAAAGAATGGAAGGCTGGAATCCATCCTTGCTTGAAGGAGCAACGTTTACAGGAAGTTGCCAAAATACAACTTTTTGAACAAAAATTGGTGTAAAATGAAAAGCAAATTTATGGTTGTTAAATGTCCATAGGCTCTAAAGCTCTTGCAGGGGGTTCACTTGACCAAGGAATACGCCCACATGAACTAGGACCAAGCTTTCCATTCTTAAGATATGAATAGAAATATCATATCACATCTGTAGATATGAAATAAAGCTATTCTGATTATTTTCTTCCTTTTTTTTTTTTTGAAAATACTGTGGAAAATCCTGTCTAGCAATACAGGTGCATTTTAATGATACAAAGAAACGTAGAAAGTTTTCTTAATTCCAACTATARCATACCGTTTTCTCTGTCTCCAGCTTCCTTTCAATTCTGTTTTGGCTTGAAACTTTTGATACTCTTTAAACTCCTGTTGACAGTGCTTCAGATATTTGACTTCTCTTTCAAAGTAATCAAGTACACTGGCTTGCTGTTAACACAGTGATAAACAAAGATCATTACATGCCCAAAGACACAAATATCTTGCTGATGATCTGAATGGTATTCATCTTGTATCTAAATTGCAAATACAAATATCTCTATTTGTCCCAATAGTTTGAAGCAACCCAATATAAAGATGTGACGAACCTCAGGCACAAAGTAACCATAAACCACCAAATACTTCATTATTATGCTATGCATTTATTTTGTCTGGGATTCTGTGGTTTCATTTTTATTTGTCTCTTTAACAGTGTAGTATTTTTCACCAAATACTTCAGTTACAATTAATGTAATCTACATATTAGTTCCTTGGTTAATAATTCTGCAACCTAAGCAGTTTAGTTCTAAAACACAAATGTGTTTCCTACCTTGCTTTTGAGAAGATATTTTTACTAAAATAGAGCTGCTGACCTGATGTTTTGTTGCTACCCATTGCAGCTCTGTGCATGGCAAACCTTTATGGGATAGTTATAAACTATTTAAGTGCCTATATAATCTTAAGGCTGCAATAGAATGGGACGATGATTTTGTGATATAAGAGTAACAGGCTAGTTAGCAAGCAAGACTGCTAGACTGAAACAGTAGCTCAATCTTTGGCTGGGAGGGGGGGAAAAGAACAACTGAAAACCATGCAGGAAAAAAAAAGAGCAATTAAAACAGCTTCCATTGTTCCCATGGCCTTTTGGTACAGATACTCCTTATTCCAAGAGCATGAATGAGTGGGAATGTTAGTAGCAGTTTTCAAAATGTGCTTCACTAAAGTAGAACCAGATATGAAGACATGTAAATTGAATTGCTCAATTTAAAGGAAAAAAATGATGCAAATATGGACAAGAAGGTGTAAAGAAAAAGGAATTCAGTACATCTACATTACTCTCCACTCTAAAGCATTGTTTTAATGCATGAAATGTGTAATTTTATTGATGTGGCAAAAAATGCTGACCTCTTAGTTGTGTTTTCATGTAGCCAGGTTGGAGCAGTGGAGTTCTGCCAACTGTCCTGAGGTTTCCCTAAGTTGACTCTTAGCTAAGCTCTGTGCAAAGCCMCCTTGGCTACAGGTGATCTTTAGAGAATATGGCTTGTTCTGATTTCAAATTAAATGCCATTATCTGAAGGCAGTTTTTCTAGGCAGACTTGTTTCTGTGTTGGAGTTTTCAGGATAAGGTGTTGAAGTGATTTAATAAAAATTCTTACCAACCTCATTACTTGAAGGGTGACATAGTGTTTGACAGATTTCCAAAATCTGCAGTACTCCAAGTTCATCAGAAACAGCTAGAAAATGCTGCTCTGTTGAAAGATATTTGACAAAAAAACATATAAACAATCCAAATTCCAACAGCAACGTGAACCTCCACCCAAAGACAAGCTACATAAGGTTCATTTTTTTATCTGGTCTTTTTAGTTTATTTTTCTCTGCCACATAAAAGGCAATCTCATTGCTCTTTTATTTACAAATGAAATTCCCTTTAAAGTTTGTCTTTTATCAGACTTCTAAAAAACTGAAATATTTTCAATTGCTTTTCTGCCATGGTAGTACACTTGGAACAGATGAATCCATTTTTGTATGTACAGTCTTAAATTTGTGGAAGTATGTACTTACATGAGACCACTTGTAATAAGATTTATGTRCCTTGGAGTCATGGGCCATTTTGCAAACAGGATACCACAATAAAGTGCAATCACTATCAACATACCTGAGGCACTGCAGGTGCTGATGAAAGTGATGAGTGATTTGGAGATGTTCTGGAAATGAGATGGCTCATGAGTTTTCTTCAATAAGTCCCAARTATCTATATTTCCATTGTCTCTGCCAATGAAGAAAACTCCTGGTCTTGTTAAGGACCATTGTCCTGCAGTGTATCTTCCTGCAGAGCATCTTGACTGAAGGATTGGTCCATTCTTAATTGTTTTTCGAAAACAAATAAAATAYAGACAATATAGACAATAAAAATTAAACAGTACTTTTAATTCACTATTTCAGATCTTCTGTCATTGGAAAATGCTCACAATATAAGTGGTTCTATTACAAAAATTATATCAATGGCAAAATTCTTACCACCTGCTGCAGATAAAAGTTATTGTGAGAAGTAAAATACCTGGTATCTCACTTCCAGTCTGTTAAGATAATCTGGCTGTCTGCTTTTTGTCACGTGCAAGATTTGGTACAAACATAAAAAAATCCCAAGGTTTCTTTGTCTTCACACGATGAAAAAACTTKGTCCTAAAATACAAGTTCTTCAGATTTGTTCCATATGCATTTCCTTCAATCTTTYGTTTCCCTAGCAGCAGAATTGAATAGTTGGGAAGCTACATTTTTTACAAGGTTGAAATTTAAGAAAGTCACTTCACTTTTTCTGTAAAAGGCAAGTTTGCTAAGCTGTATCTAAAATAGTCTTCTGATGTGAAAAAGATGGAAAGCTTCTTTTATATCTGATTTGTTTCTAGGCTGTGAAGCTTTGTGACTTACATATGTTCCCGAAAATACAGTCTCTGAGCCTTTTACAGTTCTGTCTTGTATGCCTATCACATATGCTACAGCTGTGTTAAAGTAACTTACTGTAACCCCTTCTTTCCAAATGGCAAACTTCTGGCCTCCAATGCTTAGAAAGATGTCATCAAAAAAAGGAGATTTCTGGAGAGTGTTGATAGGTTCAGTGTGAAGGGTGTATTTCTCAGAGTGCTTCTCACCTAATGGAGGAAAAAGGCAGTTGCTTGTTACTGGTGCCTTAGTGATCAAGGAGCAAGAGAGCAGGACCCAGCACAGGCCTGGAAGATACCAGCCTCATTTTTTTTGCTCACAAGGTACAGGAATTGGAATTGCCACGAATCTAGTTACTTCCATTATTTGTGCCAATAGCTTTGTGCTGTTCTGTTGTGCCAGCTAAAGTGCTTGCACTTTTGAGGGAGTACTGCTAAATTCAGGTGTCATCAGTGAGACAGACTGTTAGAGCTATGAGCAAGAACCTTAAAAAGACAGAGCATAGACACAAATATTTTGAAGTTAGTGATATATTAAGGTTTAAACAGGCATTGAGAAACTTGAACTTACTAACTGGTTTTGCTGAACGACCAGCAGTTGTCATTTTCCAGTCAGAATAAAYAATTTCTCCATCCTGTAATGCCAAAAAAATCAAGCAAATGCTAATGTTAGAGCTTGGTGGCTTATTTCAAAGTGACTTGTTTTTAAGCTGTGACTTTAATTATAACCATCATTAAATAGCATCTGAGTAAATTAAAACTGCTGAATTTGCAACCAATAACTGAAAACTCATTGAAATTTTGCATCACCATTTTTCAGTTACATATTTTCAGAACAGCTTTACTTGATGTATATGTAGGTAGTCCTTCCTGCAGAATGAGGTACTTGGTACTTTCCTCCCGCATTTGGGGAAAAGGTGATTGGAAAAAGGTAGCTAGAAGCAAAATATTAATTTCTATATTAACTCAGAACTGGGAAAGATTAATGAATTTTAGTTGCATAGGGCAGGTAGCAGACTATGAATAGTTGTAATTTCTTAAAGTGAAATTAAGTTGGGGGATAAATTTTAGTGTAAATGTTTTCAGCTGACCTGTGGGGAGACACTAAAAATAATACTAATCTTATGTGTTCTGGAGTAAGGAAATAYTCTTTGGTTCCTAATAGGTGGTTAAGCTCAACTTATTTTGGAAATGTCTTCTAATTCTGCCCTTGAAGTAAGAGTTCATAGTCTAACAAATACTGGAGGTGTATTATTTTAAAGCATTTTAAATTTAAAGCATTTATGTTTAAAAACATTAAAATGGAAGTAAAATGTGTTGTGGCATGTTCAGAAAGTTTTTTTTTAGTTAGAACTGAAGAAAACATGCAAGTGAAAGCATGCAAAACATATGTGAAAACTGTTATTTAACTGTTCAGTCTTTCAGATACCTTGGATTAGCATTTTAATTGGTAATATATTGTTTTCACTTACTTCATTTCCAGCCAAAAAGTCAACGGAAAAACTGTCTAGCACTTCCAGATTTTTGCTTGAAAAAGTACTCATCTCTGTATATGGTCTCTCTTTGGGRGGCGCTCTTACTGCGCTCATGGATTTCGGCCTCCCTAGGAAACAAGAGTTGTATCTTTTTGTTACACACTGGGATTCCTCAGACCAAGCAAACCCTTGGTCTTGTAAAGGTAGTTTGTGGATAAGGGGAATTTCAAGAGGGGACATGAAGAATGACTGCCAAGTAAAGCAGCAGCTCCGTAGATTTACTCTTTCCAAGTGGAATCTCTCCGTTGCTGCAGCTCTGAAGTAAGTGCTTCCCGTATCCAGACAATTCTTAGGGTAGCACCTTAAGCACCTTAGTTCTACACAGCACCGGTGTCTGTGTGGGAACTGCCCTTACACRTCACCCATAGCTGCTGCAAACAGGAGCCAACATCTCTGCTCCAGGGAATGGATTATGATTCTAAAAATAGTTCTCTGTAATGGCTGAAAAGGACATAATGTTTCAGGGATAAAGAGATWGGGTGGGGGATTTGCATGGGCTCTTAAGTGAAACTGGATAGAGTCACTGCGTACATGGAATTGCTCAGTTTGGATTCAGTGCATGTACATCTCTTTSCAGTCATGACATGTAGGTCACACACTAAATACCAGTATAATTAAGAAATCCTTTTCTGCAGATGTGTTTAGCTATTTAGCGTTTTGTTGCTCAGCTTTTATTATGTATATACTGAGATACAAGCTTATTAAAAACATTTCCTCCAGTAATGTGTAATAAAAAATATTACCTGAGGTTTTGTAACTATACTGCAGTTCCCGTAAACTAATTTTGGTGGGACCATACTCAGTGTTGGTATCCTTTTCGCGCAGATTTATCTGTTCAGAGAGAAGTGCATTTGCTTAAACCCTTTTACCAGATCTTTGAGGTTCAAGTCTAAATGGCTTTCTGCTGTAATGGAACAGATCTTTGCAGTGTAATACTCCACAAACACTATTTGCTGCCTCACATATAAGCATGGAGAACATGCTCTTTGTGTTATCTTATTCCTGGAAGAATTTTGCTTTGTTTCTAGCAAAAAAGCCGAAACAACCCAGCTCCAGTAGTCATGCTTGTTCAAAAACTGGACCACCTGCAGCTGCTCTGAGCAGCACAGACCAGTATGCCTAAAATTATAACTTCTTTTTCTTACCTTAACACTGTTTTCAGCCTGGCTTTTTTTTTCACAAGATGCTGGGGCTTTTTTTCATGAGACTGAGTGTTTGTTTGCTAGTAATTATGGTTCTGCTGGCCATGACCATGTTCCACCATTGGGGACCCACTGAGATAGACAGCAGAGCAGTTGAAAAGGCTGACAGGAACTTGCACTATTTATGCAACTACTTTTGCATCTACTGCAGTTTTTTTTAGAGGCAGACATGCTGTTTCTCATTAATTAGCTTTTCAAAATATATTTTATTGAAGTTTCGAAGGAATGATGAAGTATTTAATTTCATAATCAGAAAATCACAAGGAAACAACAATTTTATGGRAAAATTAGAGGAATTAGGGAAAATTAGGGGAGCAAAAGAATAGAGTTCTGGCCACATCTACAGTTTGTCTTGATCCATATGTTCTGTATTTGTGTACACTACCTTTATGAGAGGTTTCCAGGAGAGATCCAAATTATCATCAGTACCTGGACCACCGCGGGGCATAGGAGGTCTTTTCTTCTCCTTTGCTTTCTCAGATGAAGTTTTGTCACTAAATTCAATGGCTGGAATATCCCAAAATAATACTGAGCTGCAAAATAATTGTATAATATATTTTGTATAGTGTTTTGGTTTGAAGTTACTTACAATTTTCCTTACATTATAAAAGGTTTTTAACCTTTCAACTTCAAACCTTGTATAACAATAGAGACTCTGAAAATCAGACAAATGCTAGATATTTGCTTCTTTTGTAAATGATGAAATATATTTCTTTATTCATCAGTTAATTATACCAAAGCAGCTAGATAGTATTCATACAGTTTGCTTATGAACAGTTACTGGGTGAACTTACTGGCACTGCCTGGGTGAAATTCCTGAAGGCTGATAAAACCCAATAGAATGCTGTAGCAGGTAATCTAGTAATCCAAATCAAAGATCAGTCTCAATTTCTGTGTGTGCCAATTTATTTGCTGACATTCAAGGCAAATGGTCCCACTCACTTGTACCTGTCATCYCACTGGAGTTTTCAGTCCTCTGATTGTTCATTTTGCCCTGCTCTGGACATTCTCTCACAGGTTTGATATAGCCAATGAAACATCCYTTATTGCTCCTCTCTCTTTCCCTTTTCTATCAGGAGTTGGTCAGGGACCTCTGCTCTTCAAGCATGACATTACAGTGACTTCCCTGTTCTTCAGGTAAATACTTTTAGTYTTGCTCTCTCTGACCCTCCCTTTGACATGACTAACAAATATATGATTGAGCCCAGCCCTGCAGCCTTAAAGCCTTAGGTCTTTTGATGTCGTGAAAGCTAAACATTTTTTTCCACGTTTTGCATTCTGCCCTCTTGCTACTTTTTCCCACAGAATAATAATTTAATTATCATGACATAATTATCATTCAGTCCACAAAAGAGGAGATTCATGCAGAGTAATCTTGCCAGCTAAGTCTGCAAATTGATCCRTAGTTTACAGTATTTCTGTGGCCTTAGAACCTTTTAACATTTCTTGTGSATCTCACACARTCAAATGTGTGGGGATGTGGCTTTCCAGGCTAATGGACATGTGAGCAACACTCTTCTGAAGGTGGTATAAACAGAATATAAACGTATATAGGAAAAGTTAATAAACTCTTAATGCCACTACTGTAAAGGGTTTAACTGAACAATAATGCAAAGTGCTTTGTCTTCTGCATACAGAATTCCAGCTACGCAGGAGATGCTGATAGGGATCCAGAAATGTACTAGTTAAATCATGGATTATGCTTCATAAATTTTTTCCAAAGGGATCTGGAAGATGTAGAGTATGTATTGTATATACCAGTCAGGGGAGCAGGTTACAAACTGCAGGTAATTTTCATCTCTGCTTTCAAAAGTACCACCCTTTCGGTTGTCCTGAAAATAACAGTAATAATTATTACAGGGGAAGAAGATGATGAAAGGCAAAAATCACACTCTGATACATAAGTTCTTCAACACATAAAACATGCTACTAGAAATTAAGTCACTGTTTATGCTTGGGTAAGGTTTGAAAATCAGGACTTATTGAGTTGCAATTGTAGTGTCAACCTATTTTACAAATAGCTTTGCTTCAAGAGAACTGATACCAGCTTTCCCTGCTACACACCAAAAATTCTAAATTAACTTTGTAGGATAAATACTTGCTGGTACCACTGCAAGTCAGACCCTCTTTAATTTGCCATGTCTGTAACTTCTTTTATGCAGCTTAACCAAAGAGCTGGTAATTGAGAAATTAATCTCCAGCAGTTCAGTGTAGTGGAAGTGATGTGTCTTTGCCAAGTTTACACTATGGATCATCTATCTTAAATTATCATTTGGCTAGGCCTCACTGTGGGATCATAGTAGTGCCTTCAAATGTTAATTATTTATAGTTTAGTTTGTGTATGTGAGGATCTCTATACTATTTATCATTTACCAAGTAGTTATTGTTTTATAGCAAATTAATTTAAATTACTCAGGAAAATAAAGGAAAGGTGTCAGGATAACAAAAGATTACAGGTTAATCAACTATAACTTCCAGTTATATGAAAAACAATGAAAACCAAACATTTTTTGGCTAAAACAGTACTTAYAAAGTATGTGGCAAAATTTCAGCTACTTTTTTTTTTTTAGGCCAAATTAGGCCTACTCTAATTTTTGTTCATGAGTTTATTTACCAGGAATCACAATGGCAGTCTTGCAAGCAGGCTAAGCTGAATTAGGTTCTGGATGGAGCTTTGAATAATTTTTCACTAATATGTAATTATAAGACTGCTGATCTTTACAGACTGTGCCATAAAAACTGCTACACTGTGCAAAGGCTGACACATATTCCATCTTTATATAACAGAAACTATGTGCCAGCACATGTTGCTAAATAMTGGTAAAGTGACTCTTCTGTCAGTGTTATTTATTAAACACGGGTCTCCTGTATCTGTTATCCAAGATGAACACAAAAACAACTTTCTGAGCCTAAACTTTGTCTAAAAAACCCCACCCAAACAACAAAAACCACAACAGTGTTCTGCTATCCAATTCCATTCTTCATGCTTTACATCTGGTACCAATTAGTATCCGTGACTAATACTGTATAAAATAATAATGAATAGTGGTATCAGCTGTCTTTTTAGGATATATTTGTGCCCTTCTCCTCACTTTCCTGGTTATGTTACTTAGGCTGTAATATCTGTGAAGTCTTAATTTTCTTCTTTTTTTCAAAAATGTATTGCTATGTAATTTCCATAAACCTTTTAAGGATTTCAGTTTTCTTTAWCTTGGCCTGCTTTTCATTACTTTGCATCTGACTACATCTGCATTTCAAATTATTTCAGCAACCATTTGCAATACTTTAGTAATAAAACGGCATGCASTGTTCCTGTTGGACCCTTTAATTATATGTCTCCTAAGTACTTTGGAGCTTTAAAACCATCACAGAAAAAGTAAGTTTTGATTATACAAATGGCATCTAGAAAAATCAAGGTAACTACAATAACACTGTTCTTGGGTATCCAGATATTTAAGTAATTGAATGATTTCTTGGAATTTTTAGTGMCAGGTTAGATTGCTCATAGTAGAAATTCAATACATTTTAGATATGGAAGGCTTACTATAATTTTGAGTTGTAATTTTCTGTAAAAAAAAAGGAATTTTTTTACAGATTTTTTTTTCCTGTATAAGCAGATTCATGTCAGACTGAGAACAATGAACYGGAAACTTTAATTAAACCAGATTATTAATGTTTATTAAATGCAGTGAAAATTAATGAATACAAATAACTGACCCTTTAGTATTTTCTCTTGAGTTGACACTGGGATTTCTGAGGTAGTAGATTAGAAAAGCAATAAAAAGAAGAAACGTGGATTTTTAAACTCACCTCAGGATTTYGTGGTAGCCAATGTATATCTGTTACTGGATTTTTATGACTGTACACTGTGGAAGAGGCTGCACAGTGGCTCACTAGAGATGGCTCTGTGCTGCTCGGCTCGACTTGCTTAAGTGGGGACTAGAAATGTTTGAAGAAAATATATCTCAGTGTATTCCAAAATAAAATTGTAGATCTATCAAAGGAAAAAGGTTACTTTGCATTCTGTTAATGCTTTTTCACCTATTTCAGATCAGTTTATAGAACTTTCTAGGGGTCTAATATTTTGCATTTGGGAAAAAAAACCCAAAACAAAACAAAAAGGAAAGCATCTAAACAGGCCTTTGGATATAAAGCTCTAAAAAGAATTCCAACATGCCTCTACAGACACACACATCATTACTGTCTCCTCTGCTCTTAAGTCTTTCTTCTGCTTATTTTTTATTGTCTTTTTCCACTGAAATTGTCTCATCTTCCAAGCTACCTTTTCTCTGTCCACAAACATCTAGCATACTTTTCACTATTGCATTCAGTAACAAACACTATCTGTATTTGATAGGCTTTGTAAGGTGCCTATGAAAAAAGAGGCTCACTGAAGCCTAAGTGGCACAAAATGCAGTAAACCTATTAAGCTGTACTAATCAGGTAGAAAATATAGTGATTATTGTGATAATGGCTTTATTTAATGAACTCATCAGATTTCTTAGCCTTTCTAGGGTCTCACTGCAATGATTATCTACTACCCTCTTTTATGTCAGGATACCTTCACCCATTTTTCCTCCACAGAACATACTCTGCAATATACTTACAACAGAAGCATTTTACCCTATTAACAGCTGTTTTCTTGATTTCATAGAATCACAGAATGTTGAGGGGTTGRCGTTCTGTGCTGCCAGTGCACACTGCTGGGGAAGCCCAGTACACCACSATCCAACCATCATCCCCAGAATTACCTCAGTCACCCATGCTGCCACCACTGTTGGCTCACCCTCTGTGTCAGGGATTTCAGCAGCAGCAGGATTTGTGTTTTGCAGCTGTTCTTCATATTTAGAAATATTCCACAGTACAACCTACAATCAGAAATGAGTATATTGAAAATTATTTTGCCCTGTGTATTAATATGCATTTTTTTTCAAATCATGGAGGTTTGGGGAAAAATAGGAAATTCATTCTCTGCACTAGAATTTATGAAGTCTTTAAAGTACTTTCTCTTTAATCTGATGCAATCAGCAGAAAGGTTACACTTGTCTCTGAAAAATGTCTTTACAACTTGACCTATTTATCAGTACGACAAAGAAGCATCGTACTGGCTCAGCTACGGAATGACCAGACATAGCTTCAGTCTGGGGTAAGAGAGTTTCAAAACTCTGTGCAATTTGTCTTCTGTCTTTATGTGTTACTATAGATGTTGGCTACATCTCTTCACCCCTTTTTTATACTGGAAGAAAATATAAAAATTTGCAATTTTATTTTTAAACAGCGTAAACCTGTCCATTCACACAGCCACCAGCAATGGCATTTGGATCACTTGGATTGAACTGAAAGCAGTAAATGTCTTCAGGAGCCTTCAGTATTAACTAGAGAGAAGAAAAACAAGATAGTTGAGAAATACAGTCACACTATTTGTTCTCATGTTTTTAAAWACTTGGCATATTTAAAAGTCTTGATTAAATACCTGGGGGCAGATAGGGTCAAAAAAACTCCAGAGAAGTATAACTGACTGAGGTAGTGATGATTTATTAGAAAGGTTAACTTGCTCTTCATCACAAGGCTGCTCTCTTGCTGACAGTGCTATAATCCCTGATTGAAGGAGACAATAAATTTTCTCAAAAGAGACAATTCAAGTTTCAACACAGTGATAATTATTTTGAATGGCTTGTATTTATACCTTCTGAATACAGCAAAAAAAAAAAAATGCAGGAAATAAACCCCAAACAAACCAACCATGTATTCCATTTTTCTTTTTTTTTTTCAAGATTAGCTTTGAGGCAACCGTTTTTGTTACTCAGCATTAAGCTATTTAAAAATGAGTCATAGAACCTATGCATCAGGATAAGTTCTCTTTTTGCTACTGCTCYGTAATGGTGTAACACTGCACCTGACAGGCTTATAGTCCTGGCCACCCATCATGAAAACAAATCTTTGGTAACACAATTAATTTTCTTACACAGGCTGCAGTGCTGTCAAGTAATATGCTGGGAGCTGGAGCATTTATATAGAACTTAATTGYGCCTTTAAATCTGTGCAGAGCAATAATCCACAACAGGGAGCAGGAGCTGACATTTAGTGTGTCTTGTGATGCTCCCTGGCACTCAGCAGAGCTGTGTCCCATTGTGGCTGTAACATTCCTCACAAGTACTGGGTGTGCTGCAAGGGCCAGGCATGGGGACAAGCACAATGATGTACAGAGCCATCCAAAGAGTCTGGCACGACAGCCCTGCTTCAATGAGCCTCACAGGGGGGAAATGCCTYTTTGCTGTGATCTCCACTTACATGTTAGTGTAAAGGACTTTCCATGGCCTGTATGAATTCTACAAAGAATTTTTCTGTCTAATTTTTCATTYTGTCTCAATTTGGCAATCCAAATAGGGATAATAATTAGCTTTTGATTTCTTTTTAAACMTTAAAGCTGATGATTTAATGAAGGATGCATATTTTGTAGCTGACATATAATACCCATCGCTGAAGACTGAAATCAGTAACTGCATTACCACCAATGGTTGGATGACAGCGAACGCAGCTAATGGTTYTGTTCTTGAGATACTGCACATCTGTAAATGATTGGTATGCTTTGAGATAAACATCTGGCTCGCCACCAGCACTTCTTTCATCTTCTGCTAGAGCCTTCCAGTCATCAAAAAAAACATCCATAATTTCATTTTGCTGCAATGCAATTTCCATTCTGTTTTGTGAAAAGAACAGTTAACACATCAACAATCCAGATGTGACCACTCAATAGCAGAATTACCAATATTTCTGTAAAGAGGTAGCTTTTGTTTTCCACAAAATTATGATCAGAGTTAAAAAATCAAGTATTAATTCCTCARTGATGCATCACTGCAAGGAAAACCTCTTCTGTTTAAACAAAAATAGCTACTGTGCCAAGAATTTAACTCCAGTTCTTTCTGGACCAAGTCCAAAGATTGTCCAATTCTTGTGCAAAAATTGTCATTAAGTAGGACTTGTCCCACTTAATGGAACATGGCTAAGGCCATAGTCATGGTTAGGACAGCTTTGCTCACTGCATAGCCATCTGCTTGAGAGAGCAGTGTTTGAAAGATCAGTWTTGCAGTTTGTTTGGAAAGATGCAGCACTATCGACTTTAGCAGTTCTGATACCTATTTAAAACAACATTCATATTTATATGGCATAGAATAAATGTTTATTTTCATAGAGACAAATATTAGGTTAATATTTGTTAATGTAATAATAAAAGTAAAAAAGTATAAGGAAAAAAAATAAAATTAGTATTTTACTAGACCAACGATCCATGTAGACAAGAGAACTTGCTTGTACTCTGTATTATTTCAGGTAAGTGTATATTGCAGTAATTTTACCTTATATGTACTGTTGTAAGAAAGTCTTTCAGCGCCTTAGATGACAGACTCTCTGCTTTCTCTTCATTTGACAACTGTCTAGGATAATACTGCGTGGATGCATTTTTTGGACAGATCCTACCCAATTGGAATAAATTTGAATGTAAATATAGAAAACATTTCAAAGACAGAAACCCATGTAATTTATAAAATTTAAATATAAAAAATTTTTCTAGAAGTTTTTCTAGAAACTTTTTTAAAAAGAGTTAAAGAAGAAAGATGCAAATAGATCATCCAATTTTGTTCTATTAATCAGTTTGTAACTCAGTAACTCCAGAATTTTAGTTGAGATAAGAAACAGTGCATAGCCTAAGAAATAAGCTGATAAGTATTTTCTCATACTTACAATTTTGTTTGAGTACTAGTTTCTCTTGCTTTTGGAACTATTTGCAGTCCCACATCTCTTTCAAGCATTTTAATAGTGAAAGTTTTGTCTTCATAGGACGCACATTCAGCATAACTGTCTTTGTCATCTGAAGCGTTCTTATCAGTAAATGTAATTGGTGCACCAAACTTCCTGCGAACTCGAGAAATCTTGTACTTAATCTGGAAAAGAYATATTTCCGTGGCTAGCAGAAGAGAAGGTTTGTGGAAAGTTCATTCTGTAAAATGGCTGCTTTCATATAATTGTAGAATTAGAACTATTGATGATTTCTGTGTTGAACTTGCTTATATTTCTGCATTTTGAAATTCTAAAGTGCTCTTATAAAYAAACTACATATGTAATAGAAGACAGATTTGTATTTGTAAAACAAGAAGCTGTAGCATTTTTGGATTACTGCCAGTAGGAGAAGAGAATTACATTTTCTAATTCATGCAATATTAAAACTGCACATTTAATTAAAGGATTGATTTGCAGGAAGCCTTATGTAATACTGAGTTAGGCTGCCAAGACCTAACTTTTCAGCCCTTCCCTCTTAGTGGAATTCTCAACTTTGGGTGAGGTATTTCAGCTTCCCTTGCAGTGCCTAAGGAGAGAAAAGTGCTCTGAAGAAGATGCAAAAAAAAAAAAAAAAATTGGAGGAGTTTCTTTTTGTTGAGAATTAGGAAGGAAAAAGGGATGTGTCTTCACTTCTGCCCACAAAGAGAGGTTGAAACTTGACTGCAGGCAGTAGAGAGGTATTTCCTTGTCCTAGATTGATAGCCAGGTACTTTTACCCAGCACCTCCCACAGACCCGGAAAGAAAAGTAGGCTAAAAATACTTTTGAGTGGATCTTGCCAGCAGTGCAGAACTTAATGTAGGCCATTTACRTTTATTTGATTGACTAACATCTGTTCATTCTGACCTTTGTATCCCTTTCTTTAAGAGATTCTTCTTCAACTTCCTTTTCRCTGCCAAGGGAAACCCAAGGTTTGTGGACTTCCTGAACTTCTTCTTCATTTTCTTCTTCTACTACTTCAGGTTCTGGAGGCTGTGACATCAGTGAGAAATGGTACTTTTTCAAAAATTTGTTACTAAAATTTAAGTGTGAACTAGAAACCCAGTTTTCAGTCTTCATTCATACATTCTTTACTTTTGTCTCAGTGCAATGAGTCTGGGTGTRCTGTGCTCCTAGGCAGGGCTGGGTTAGATCCCATTCATCTGTGCATTAGAATTTTCCAATAAGTGTTACATAATGAAATTTACTACTAAAGAGAGACTGTTGTCTTGAAAGCAAATAATTTTATATAAAAAGAATTTATAGTGGTTCTTTTCCATTAGGCTCTCTGGTCAGAACTGTATTTTACTTTTCTTAATTGTTGCTTCTCCTGATTGCCTGATGCTGGATAGCAAACTCATACTGAAAAATTACATCATCTTTCTATAAACATTCTCCTACAGTGCAGTGCACAAGTTGTATTTATCTGGAGCTATTTAGAACTCGAGATATTTTAATGATTTGAAGAAAATTACTTGATCAATATATTCTTATAYATTATGAAAAGCAGGTATAATGCTTCTTTGAAGACACCCAATATATTGTCTTTTATTTTTATGTCTGAGAAATCTGAGTATTGGCAGAGAAAATTAATGCTTATGATAAAGTATGCAGCAATGGGGGTTATACTGGCCTCTACCTCTGAGGTAAAATACAAAAATTTAATTCCGACCTTCTCAGTATAGAATATATTTTACAGTAATGCGCATATTTTTCCATGGTCAGCTTAACCATTAGAAAAACAACAAATGCTTAACAATACCCTTCCTTACATCTTTATTTGAGACTAGATTTTGAAATATTCTTAGAACAGTGCTGTTGTATAGTTGGATTTTACCTTTAGAAGTTCTTCCTTGGCTTCCTCAGAAGCAACAATGTAAAAGTTCTGTCCATACTGGAAGCTTGGATCAAAAACTATCAAAAGTTCTTCCCCTGGATACTCCTATTTTAATTTAAAAAAAATAGTGGAAAACTGAAAACAAATAACATTAAAGCAAACATGAGGTTGTGACKGGAAAAGCTACCCCTAATATAAATTCAGTATCTTAGGTTAAKTTTGTGTTCTTAACAGAGAATTTTATGTGCTAATTGAAATGAATAGATGAGGTTTATTTTGTAATAAAAGTAAGTCTGGGACAAAAACTAATCTTTCATACAGACAATTAAACAAAAAATAAACTGTTTTTATGATTCTTAATGAATAGGCCATGAATGAGGGTAAGCCAAATAGGTGAAGCTCTGTCAGTTCACTGAATCAAAACTAATAGTATTTGTTACTTTTAGTATATTTTGAACCTAAAGTTAGGAAAAAAAAATACATGGCGAGCCATGAGAAACTTTGAGTTGACATTGGTCCGTGACCTATAGCACTCAAATATTTTAGTATTAGTGTTTTTAAAGAGTCAAACAAAACAGACCCYTTCCTTAGCAGAATGTACACTCTGAGACCATCGAGTTTGAAAGTGAGAATGAAGTCAGCTACATACTAGGATAACTTTTTTGAAAGGGTGGAAATCAGACTTCTTAGCTCTTTTTTTCAGGTCCTGAAGGATGTCCTCTTTTTTAATACATTTGAAACAATTTTCTTCTGTGACATCTTCATCAGCTCGGCACTTAAAAATTTTTTGGGTCTTTGCAGTCAAATCCAAAGGAAAGATTTCAGGGTGGCCTATGAAAAAAAGAAAAATTGTATAACTTCAGAGTGTTGTTTAAACATACATATATACTTGGATAACTCTATGTCTTTACTGTTTCTAGTACAATGCCTTTGAATCTCTCAGCTTTGTTTTTGGTATTTTTGAAGGCATGAAATACAAATTATATTTACTTTATCAATCTTKGAAAATACTCTACCCAACATTTTGCACATAATGAATATGATTTCACTGGTATGACTTTTTTTCTTCTTGATCAACAGGTTATTAAGAACTTTAGTGAAAAATCTTKAATCGACTGTTTTTAATATATTAAGGGCAAAATGCATGGTTCTGACTTAAGAAAGCCTTTGAATAACTATACTGTGGTCCTTCCCTGCAGGGCAGCGCCATATTAAGCCAAAGTTTAATCTAGATGAGGCTTCCCCCAAGTTAGGAAGCTTTTCTGATTTTGGACTTTCATCTTGCTCTGACTGAGTGTGCAGCAGAAACTGTTTCTCACTAATCACATGAGACTAAGGAAAGGTCATTAAGATTGAAGTAAGTTATTCCTTTTCAGCTTTACTGAAGGATATATGTCTTGTTTTCTAGACACATGACCTCTGTTAGGTTCATTCATATTGATTCAGGATGAGATATTTCTTATCCTAGCTCTAGCACTGATGTCTTCGTTAGTTTTGGTGAGGCTGGATGCAGTTAGGTGACCTGTCAGCTGTGCTTTGCAAACAGTCAGAGGATAATACACAGTGCCTCTTGTTAAGTGTGTGCCAGTTGTAAGTAAGGCAATGTATGTAATGCTGGTCTTTCTCATGTTCCATGTTCTGTCTCCAGCTTACGTTACAGCTAGAGGTGGCAAAGATCCCTCTAGGCCCAGTTAGTCAAATCCTGTCCCTGACACTCCTCCTTGGCTATACTGCTCTGCTAGCAGACTCATGCTCTGTCTCAGCTGCCCTAGGAGGAGCATTCCTCACAAAGACCACCATATTTTTGCCTGAGAAGACTGGACTATGTTCATCTCTTTGGTGAACTGGAAACTGAAAAACGTAGGGMCATGTATACTATGTACTATTTTTCTCTACTAAAATGTGCCAGCTGCTGTGATAATAGCTGATACTTTCTATCATCTTTGTTTCAGTCTCTTTTCTTACTTTGAGTTATTTAGTACTTCATCTTAATTCCTGGCACCTGTGGGGTTTTTCCYCTYTGTGTATGCCTTGAAGAGAAGTCGWCAYACGTCAAATGATGATTGTGACCAGCTGTGTCAGCGTGTTTTAAGAACTCATCTCTAATCTAAGCCAACAAGGACTGACAAAATGAAAAATCCTCCTTAATCTCTGCATAATCCTATCACATAATACATTATGTTTGATGAATCTGACATTTATCCTTTAAAATCTTTCAGTGCTGCTACTCCACTGCATCTGCTCTGCCATAGTCATCACTAAAATTAATGACATGCATGATGTTTCTGGCACATGCTACACTATGCCACATATATGGATTACTTGCCACATATGTGGATTACTTAGTCCCCATTAAGTGTGTTATTTGTTGCACACACAACCTGTTTGTAGGATGCACAGGCCATTACTTCCCTTTCATCAGAGGTTGTAATTAATATTGCAAGATTTTCCTTTTTTATATCATGGAGATTTCCAGGATTTCTGTGTGGATGCTTCCAAAAAATACAAAATCATAGGGATGATGATTGGGAAAGACCTCAAAGTCATCTGGTCCAAACTCTCTGTTGCTATCACCAGACCTCAAAAATTCCAGCCAGGAGAAATGGTTCTTTATTCAATAAGCTTTTATGCTATTATTTTTTAAATGCTGAATCATGTATACAGCCTTGTGCACAAATGCTAATGCTAAAAAAACCCTTTTGAAGAGATGTAGGTTTCATTGTCAAATGAAACAATACAAGCATGCATTAAAGTTAAGCAAAAATATAATAGACATCACTAGGTGAAGAGAGTAAGACATATACTCTATTTTCTTCAATGYTGTATTTCTATAAGCAGAATAAAAAAGAAATAGAAATAAAAAKAAATAGAAATAATATAGAAATAAAAATTTCTATGTATTGCAGAATATTATTTTTAAAAGAATCTATAATATAAGGAGCTGATATTGGAATTCTTACATTATAAACATTTTTATTAAATGCTCTTTCCCAGTATAAAGTGCATTACATCTGATCATAGGTTTCACATTGTTTTTCTATTAATGAATTGTACCTGTATCATTTTTAACAGTCAGCAGTTCTTTGCACTACAAGAACYTCTCCAAGGACCCAGAAACTCTAAGGCACAAGTAAAGAACCCTTGCAGGTCTAAGCAGTGCATGCACGGAGTTTAARTCTCGCACAGACAGTGGCTGCTTACCCCAGTGTTATTTTCCTGCTTTTATCAACAGSTTCCTAGCAGTGGTTAAGCTGTTGGAGCTCTAACCTTATTTGCCAGTAGGTGGAGGTACAATTCTTTCTTACTAAGTATCTCCTGGAACACTGAAAATACATTTTTTAAAGTAACACTCTAATCATGYGAGGGATCACTTTTTGTGCATTTTCATTAATAAAGCTTAGCCATTTTGGTAATGCTAACCAGAGAACAATTTTTCTTCCACTCATGTGCTCATAGGATTATGTAGGAAAACAAGTGATTTATAGTTTCTTGTAATATTACCTAGTTTGTGTATTCCTTGTTTGCCACACTGTTTTAGTTTTAAATAATAAAAGCTGTACTGTTACAAGCCAATTAATAAGAGAACCCTTTGGACTGTTCCTGTAAACCATAGATAAATTTTACATTGACATAAATTTATGTTATATCTGAGGAATAATTGCACGAATTGGATCAGAAGAAAAATCCAACCAGAAATATGGAAAATAAAAAAACATTTAAAATAATTTTATGTTTAAGAAAAAGAATATATTTAAAYTTAGAAAAGTGCATAATTTTAGCCYTTAACTATGGCCATGCTTAAAACTGAGCTTTACTTGCACATAAGCCAAATTGTGACTTTTAAATGGTCAATTTTTYCCCCTACAAAATAAAAGATGCTAATCAATATCTATTGGTATCTATGATTAAAAACCRCAAGTGATATGCTAAAATCATCTTCTCACAACATTTAATAATGATTTGACAAATATCAAAGATTAATAAATTATGAAAGTATTTCATGTTTTTCTTTCAATTGATAAATTATTTCTAAATGCAAAGATTTTGCATCCTGTAATTCTGTTGTGATGCTTTTTATTTCCCCTGATCCCAACTCCTCTCAACTCAAGATAAAACCATTTCTACAAACCCATACCTGTTTCCTGCTGCTACTCAGAGAGCCACTGTAATCAATAGCTGCATTTCTTCATAGTTTCTAACTAGTTTCTAATTTTTCTCATTCATAAAACCAAGGTTTTTATTCCCTGGCATTAGTAATGAATGAAGCTTCAAAATGCTTTGAGTATTCCAAAATTACTACTTTAAATCTCAGTCATCATAGCACTTACCTATACTGGCCATAGAAAGATCAACTTCATCTTTTTTACCTGAAATGTAATGAGATAATGTTATTAGTAGCATTGGTTAAAAAACTATAAGTAATTTTACCTCTCTCAGTTATTTATATAAAATGGCATATTCTAATTTATTCTATGGTTTTTTAATGCATGGATCCAAATTAAGGTAGATCTTATGTGAGACCAGATTGCTGCTTTTTTCATTGCTGCTGTACCTTACATATCAAACTGTGCTCCTTTTCCGTCTGTGCTTTCCTTACCTTTGCCTTTACCCTTTCGTTTCTTTGATGATGMTCTTGAACCACCTATCAAGGTAGTCTTGCTGGATTCGGGAGTTTCTAACATTTTTTCAGATTTCTCTAGAGAAAGAAATGTATCATCAATAATTTTAAACAGACAACAGAATACACTGTGTATGAGTGAAAATTTGGTCCATGATTTTATGTAATACTTTCATATRCAGCTAAAGGTATGTTTCATAATTTACAATCATAAACTGTATTTTCATATCATATGTGACAGATGGAAAGACTTCTTCTGTCCAGGGTGATTAAAAATGAACACTGATTATCCAAAACATTGAAAGGTTAAATTAGGACATGAGTTTCTCTTACTGAAAGCTAAGGATCTGAGCTAAAGTGGGAAGAACATGGATGAAAATTCACCAGTTATAAATGTTTGTCCCAATGTCCATAATTGTAAATCATTACTCAGCTGCAAAAAGCATTTCTATTTTCAGTTTATTTTCCAGTGTGGTTCTGTGGAGGATAAACTCGGGAAGAAGATATAAGCATAATTAAATGTAGCAACCACACWGCAGGAGATGATACTGGATAGAAGGCTACTCCTGTTTCATTTACTCTTCTTCAACCCAATGTTTGGTGAAAGGGTTAGACCAGTAGTGCAGGAAAGGCTGATTCCATAAGAAACGCAGTTCAGCCTGCCCGCTGCTCAGGCCGGACAGCACCATCATGTGGGAGATGCTCACATAGCAGCCGACAGAACAACTGAGTCGGGATGGCCCAAATCCTCTTAGAATGATTGGAAATTGTTAAATGTTAATAATGAAGAGCCAGAGGCATTCCGATGGGATGAGGACAGTGRGGCTCTCACTCTGTGTCCTCCCTCTTCCGTGTTCACACCTTTTAAGACTGTAAGCTATCTACAGAGCACCTGCAGTATTTGGATGGTATTACAATTTTAACACTACCAAGAGGAAAGTAGATGCAGATAGGACAGAAAGAGATGGCACCTTCAAGAATRCTGGCATGAGTTAACTATTTCTGATGATTTCTTACAGGAGCTACAGCCCCTCTGCCTGTACACATGAACARCACATTTACTGTCAAAATGCTTCAGGTGAAAAGGTGAGTTTATAAGAAAATGTTCTCTCTTGAGAGTTTCCTTATCCACAGCCTAAAATAGTGAGTGCTAAAACAAACATGCTGGGGCCTGTACGTTTGYAATTTCAGTGGCATACCAGACTGAAAAACARCATTTCACTCTTTTCTGTGATAGTWCTCTAATACTCTAGAAGCAAGCAATATAACCTCAGCTTCTGATCCAAATTTTAGTTTGGAGATGGCCACTGATGGTAATATATAGGTCATGGATTATAGCCTGCTGAAATAGCCTAGGTTTGGGATACATGTTGACCTCCCGTGAATTCAAGGTAAATTTCAGTGTTGACTTTAATGGGGGCAGAATCTGTCACTCTTCTTACAGTTACGCATTTTTCTTTTTCACTCGAGTCAAAATAGGAAAATATACCCTATAAACCCTCAGAGTCTTTTCTGTATCATACTGAATCTTGAAGATCCCTGTTGCAGGCCGCATCCATGGCATGCTTAGCTTATAGTTTTGAAAGACTTAGGCCTACCTCACTTAGAGTGCATATCTGATGGTTAAAAGAAACTAATTTTTCCTTATTTAAAAATCAAAAAGTGCAAAGCTGTTTCTTAAATATCTTCTTGTATATTTTACATATAAAAATTATGACCCATTTTGTAGATGGGTTCTGTGACTGTTCTGATCTGAAGCCAACCTTTATGCCTCTGTATAAGAGACAGTCCTCCAGGATAGAAGATAAGGCTAGCTGGTTAGAAATCAGTTGAAGGACAATATGAAAATCTCATATATATTCCAGTCACAATGTCTTACTTCACCATTTCATAATTATGCACTGCAACAAAGCTAGTTTGGAAATTTTGAGTGAGTTCCTCTGAGTATCCTAAACTTTAAGTCACATGAATGGAGGAAAYGCTGAGAAGGCTGAGATAAGTCACATGCCTATGTTTAGTAAAATCACTCACAAATAAAAACATCCCTTTTATTTCAACTTTAAACCATTTTAACAATGATTTAAAGTATATTTTACATCTAAACCCAGCTAAAACTCTTTAAAATGGTCTCCCAGTAACCAGTTCCTCCTCCTTCACTGAAGGGATGAGGTGTAGGGGTTAGATGCAGCATTACAGAGATAAGGGCAGTGGTGGTGAGGTTGGTGTTGGTGCCTGCTGCATGTATTTGTGTGTGTTAATACAAAAAGTACCCCTGTTTATGGTTTGCAGATGAATAGAGCAGTCAGTTGGACTGTTTGTGCTTCCCTCTGGGATGCACAGGACCCCTCAAATGGAATGCAGATAGAAAAGTACAAACTACTTATCTTCTTTTACAATATCCCTAATACCATATCACCCCTGCCCATTTGTCATYCTGTGGGCATATGATTGTCAGTGGTCAGGGAACATGGAAGGCCTGCAGAGAAAACAAAGGCAGAGCTTCTGGAAACTTCTTTGGAAGCATACCCAGGCCCATAGCCATTTGCAAAGCATATATGCAAAGCTGGTTTTCACACAGGAATATGGTAATCTCCAGTCGCTCCCTTCAGGAAACAAACACACACTGAGAATTTTAAAAGGGGTACTGAGCAGCAGCCTTATGCACCTCTTCTCTTCCAAACAAAAGAAATAAAGGAACAAAAGTCCCAATGTGTAAGTTAAAAGCTATTATTTTCATAAGTTACCTCTTAGTGTGGGGGTTTGCCTTTTTTTGCTGTCTAAATTTTTATACAAAATACCAAATCCTATCAAGAATGCCATGAAAAAAACAGTCTATATTAGTGACTGTCTGGAAATATGACCTAAACAATTTTTTTAACCTATGGTTGGCTCCTATTCTCTTTCTATTCTGCTTGTTTAGAAAGGACTTGTCCAGACACATGCAAATGTATTATTCCTTTCCATTATGTTTATGAAGATTCATGATTCTATGACTGAGAAAMGGTTGGAAACAACATTTAAATTAACATAATTTGAAAATTTTAAGAGYGCACAACCTATTCAAAATTATAGCTTTGGAAAATCAATGGTCATAAATACCGCCATGTAKTCTATTTTTAAAAGTAAGTAATATTTAGATTTCATTAAATATATTCAGTGTAAATTTTCAGCAGTTTTTCAGTGGAACAGAGTGTTACATTATTTAATTGCTAAAACCTGAGTAAATATTTGCCAACTTTGTTTGACATTTTATAGCCTAGTTTGTTTACAGATGGCCCTAATATTTTGAACATCAGGCTTAAGTGAAAAATAAGATCAGAGTGTTCTCCTAATCCTTTAATGTACTTAAACACTTACAGATATAAACAAATYCGTGAAGTTGCTAGGTACTGCAAAAGGCAAAAGTTAATTAGCTATCAGTTCTACACAAGATGTTGTCTGATTTGAGGACACAGAATGATTCATTAGTTGCCTAATTGAATTATTTAAGGTCAAGTTTGTGTACATTACAATTTTAGGACTGTAATTTACTATMATTTGGAATCACAGAAGAATTGAATGCATGTCCATTTTACAAAAGCACTACAAAGAAAGGATCAAAACCATGTGCTACTTGTTTTTTTTTTTTTTTGTTGTTGTTGTTGTTGTATCACTACCAAGCTAGAAAAATACATTTCTGTTGGTAAACTTTTAGGAACCTGTTAAAAACACCATCTCGAGAATTACTTTGTCTATCCAGAAATTCACATACAATGTTCCTTTTAATTAAACTTTTTCTATTTTGCTCTGTACAAAAAGCAAATAATACAAAATTGTTAAAAATTATTAACAATGCTTGTGCATATTTGGACACAACCTCATTGTATAAGTTGTAGGGAGTAAAGCTCGAGTTTCAGCTATAAATAGTTCTATTTGAATGTACCTGGTTTCACACATACAACTTTTCATTAAGTCAGGCTTACTTGAACCCAGTGCTGACTTTGTTATTTGATAGAAACCAGTAGGTGTAGTTACAGTACCTGGGTACAATATGTGTAAAATTAGGTTAAGAATTAATAAGAAAGCCATAAGAGAACAAAATGGAAAACTTCACTAGAATGTTGGCTAATAGTGTGTTCTGTTTCTGTCCTTTCTTTCACCCAAAGAGAAATAGATTAAAATTGGAAAAGGTATAATATGGATGATTGTTGACATRGAATGTTTTGTACTGGGAATAAACTAGGGTTCTTTTTAGCCTGAAAATTGTGTAGGTCAGTGAAATCACAAGAGACGTAGAGAAAGTGGCCAGGAGATGCTGATTCATGGTCTTTCATAATACAAGATTGAGCTGGCATCACATGAGCTTATGGATGTGGAACAAATAACTGGGAGCAAACAACAGGACATTGCACAGTAAGTGCTTTARTTATAGAATATACTGCCCGTGGACAGGACAGCTGCCAGAAGMACAAAATTTCAAAACAGGGCAAACTGACAGATGAGAAATTGAGGGCCACTAAAAATAAGGATAGTATTCCYCTGGCTATGGAAATGAAACCACAGATCCAAGGATAAAAGGGTGCAAAGACTGAAAGTATGGCTTTGCTATAACGTTGCCTGAAATAATTTCTGGTATGAGGCAGTACAACTGGTTTAGGTTATTCAAATTTCATAACTATTTGGTTGGTACTTCAAAGGTTGCTAAGTATGCTGTAGAAGTTTCATAACTGGTCCTGCCAGCAACCAAACAGTAACATATGTTGCCTTGTCATGACTTTTGAAACAGAAATGCTATATTGTAAAAATTTACGCTAGATAAGACCTGTTAAGCACAAGTAAGAAAAACAATCGTCTCGTCTTCGGAGAGTGAGAGCTGGGTCGCTGGAACAAGATCGTGTATGCAGACCGGGGATGGGGGCTGTGGATTTGCAGGGGGTTGGCAGCAGCACGGGGGTGCTGTGGCGGGGCTGGGCAGTGTTTGCAGCGCGGATCCCGTCCGCTGCCCCCTCCACCCTCAGGCACAGCCCCCTCCACCCTCAGGCACAGCCCCGCCCAGCCCGCAGGCAGCCGCTGCCCCAGGCCCAGGGAAGAGGCGGCTGGGCCGCACGGGGCAGTCGGGCTCCGCGCCAGCGGCTGTGCCCTGCCGGCTGCTGTCCCTGTGCTCTCGAGTCGGGCACCTTTCACCCGCTGCCCCCAGCGCTGGCGGGTCCCCTTCGTGCCCTTTGTCCCCTACCTGTGCGGCCGCGGCCCGGCGCGTCCCCGGCGGCGCGCGGTTGTCATGGCGACGGGGCCAGCCGTGATTGACGGCTCGGACAGGCAGGCGGCGCCCTGCTCTTCAGACCCGCCCCGCGGGGGCAGCGGCAGGGACGCGCCAGATAAGAACTACCTGTCCCAGCATGCCGTGCGCGAGAGACGTGCYGCTGATGGTACTCTGGGGGCGCGGGGCATGACGGGTTCTGTAGGCGACAGCCGGCGGCAGTCCCCTCTGCAAGCCCGGCCACCCACGCCCCCAGCCCAGACATCGCCTCGGTGTTGTCTGCCGGGCAGTGCTGGGGCCGTCCTCAGCTGGCATTTAGGAGATTCGATGCGCTTTGTTAAAATGAAGATTTGTATTCTGTATCTTTCGTATTTTGGATGCATAAAGATAATTTAATTTGCCTTGCTGCAATGTAAAACACAGGATCCCCGGAGTATCTTCCTCTCTGTCCAGAGCACCCAGTGCTGGTCCTTGGTGCCACTCCGAGGTCCATCCAGCCCTTCTAATGGTAAGCAGGAGGGTTCTTTCTGTCTTCCATTTCAATCTGTTCAGCCAGGAAGTTCCCTTTCTTAAAATGCCTGCTACTCTCCTTGTTTTGGTCTTGGCCTTATTTTACCTTTTCGTTTTATACCAGTGTTCAGAGTGGTACTTGTAGCACGAATTAGGCAGCTGAAGAATGGACACAGTTATAACCTGAGATTTATCCTCTTGTCAGGCAGCAATGCCAAAGGGGTAATTTTCACAGTGCAGTAGGAGTGGCACATACCCAAGGCAGGAGAACGTGTTCTTTGAAGTTCAGTTAATAACTTTGATTGCTTAATTGCATGTAAGTGGAATGACTTAAGCATGTCAGTCATTCCACTCCGTTCACTGTACCACTAGCTGMCCTTCATAACTACAGTTCTGTGACCTGAAAGGGATTTTTGGGGTTGTTTTTGTTTGTTTGTTTGGGGCTTTTTTATGACGGGTGCGACACAGCTATTCGTAAGATAAGTATTATTTTCCCTGGTGGAGAAGTCTAGGTCAATAAATCTGGAGCCGGCGTTACCCATCGTATAGGAAGTGCATTACAGTGTGAGAGCCGGCCGTCACGTGCGGCAGGAGGGAGATGTGCAGCACAAGGTGTCAGCAGCCGCGTCCGCCGGTGTGCACAGMACGGCACAGCACAGCCCCGCATAGCCGAGCCCGGCACGGCACAGCCCAGGGCGGGCTGGCGGAGGCCGCGGCTCCCCCGCCCAGCCAAGCGCAGCCGGGAGGACGCGGGAGCGGGCGGGCGGCCGGCACCGGGCTGTGGGCACCGGGCACCTGGCTGTAGTCACCGGGCTGTGGGCACCGGGCTGTGGGCACGGGGCTGTGGGCACGGGGCTGCGGGCTGTGGGCACGGGGCTGCGGGCACCGGACTCCGCGCTCCCGTGGCCGCGGCAGCCCCCGGAGGCCGGGGAGCGGCAGGACCAGTCGTGGGTGGCAGGTAAGGTACGCTGAGCCTTTAACAGCGGGGAGGAGGGGGAGAGAGGAGCTCCCTCGGTCCCCAGCCTTGGCCTTTGGGGTGCCACGGTAAAGGAGCGCCGAGCCCGGGASGGGCAGCGGCTCCGCGCTCCGGCCTGGCCGGGAGTGGGGATGCCGATGCCGATGCGGATGCGGATGGCTCCCGCGTCCGTCGCTGTGCCATCCGCAAGGCTGCGGCACCCGCGGGTGCTGAGGGCCGCCTGCAGCGGCTGGGAAGGGGAGGGAGCCGGGAAAGGGCCCGTCCCGGCCCGCAGTGACGGCCCCGCTGTGACCGCCCCGGCTGCCGAGACCCCGGCCCGGGCTGTGGGGGAACACGGGGCTGCGCTTGTCTGGAACGGCGCCTCAAGCCCACCGACAGCCAAAAGTGGGTTTGGGTTTTATAGCTGTTGGGTTTTTTTCTTTCTTTTGAATCCAGCACATATATTGACAGRACCACTGCGGTGTCAGAATCGGTCTTAATTTTAGAAATGCTGGATCAGCTGTGAGAAAGATGAGTGGAAACCACAGCATAGTGTACTGTGTCCTGCAGCACAGTCRAAGTCTGATAAAGCAGGAGCTGAACTTTTTTAAACCTCTATATGGGCCTGTTCTTAGTGTTAAACTGCTGACTCAAAACTTTCCCACCTTCCCTGRCAATTGGGGAAATTGAAGGTCTCGAATCATGTCTGAAACAGACTGTTGTTCTGGTGTGTGCAGGGCCTGCTGGAGGAGACTGGATGTGACTGGACATGTGTACAAATCAATCTTCATGATTTTTTGTTTGAGTTATATAAAAATATTCTTATGGAATTCAAAAWTAATCTGTATAATAAGACACATCTTTATTCACAGCCTAGGCTGTCTTCTCTGTTCTTAATGTCATCAATCTTTTATCTGAAATAAATATTCCTSGCTACCTCTTAAATATTTTATAAAGCATTTACAAAATATTTGGGAGTCAGTGAATTTAGTAAGAGTTCAAAATCTAAATATTCTCAATACTATGCAGAGTAATGTCTCAAACTGTGTTTAGAAGATTCTCATCTAATCTTTCCTCCTCATACTCACCTCAAATGTGACCCTCTTCGGCTAATCRTGATTCAATTACCTCTTGATCTTTTTGTCTGGTTCATGATTGCTGTTGGTTTGCCTTGGGTCTTTTACAGCAAAAGAAATAATCCTGGTGAATGGCAGGTTAGTGCCCTCAGGTAATTTATCAGAATTGCAATTGGTCATGCTCCATCYCCAYTTCCAAGAGAGAACAGTGCTAATAYTATTGYATCAGAAAACTGCTGTCTCTCTTGAAAATTCCATTTCTTTCATACAAACCTGGACATATGCTTGTAGGTGTGGAGAAAAATACTAGCTACAGCAGTAGATAATTTTTCCAGAAGAGTGAATGCTCATGAGAGGTTTTTGGTGCTCTTCTTGAGTCAGGATGTCTCACATATATGCTGTTGTTGTCAAGTAAGTGAGGGAGAAGTTTCCAGGAAGTGACCCTGTAATTCCAAATGGACAGAAATTCCACTATTAAATAAGTGTCCTGGCAGCCTAGCTGCAAGTCAAAGAACTTGYCCGGTTTTTTTCTTGTAGTTCAGCCAAACATGTGCAATAATATGAGAAAGGTCTGAAATTCTGTGTAATRTGCAAGTGCCTTTCACAGAAGATAAACATCTTCGGAGTCCAGGTTGTTAATGCAGACTGATCTGGTGCTGCTATATTGATGTTTGCATGTATTTCAACTRACAAGGACTGCTTCTCTTTTCAGAAATGGAAAACCCTGAAGTGTCTGTGAGCAGCTGCAGTGCTCAYGATGATGAAAACCTTTGCAGCTACAAACGACACTCATCAGTGTCTCATGAGGGGCTTTTGGAAGACCAGCTTAGAAGGAAGTTAAAATTTTTCTTCATGAACCCATGCGAAAAATTTTGGGCCCGGGGCAGAAAGCCTTGGAAACTTGGGATTCAGTTACTCAAAATAGTGATGGTTACAGTTCAGGTGAGTACCTATGGAAGCAGGGACTCAGCCTATGGGAAGTCAAATGAATGCTGATGACATGCTATTCACGGTGTGGTRCAGAGAAAGGGAAAAGATACATTGYGAAATTATCTTATTTGCATATATGCAGTGTAGATCTCAGGTGGCATAATTTTCTCCTAAAACTATGGACTGAAAAAAATAGTTTCCCTAGGAGTACAGATGAACGGAACTATGTTTAAAGCCTCAACTTGACTCTTTCCTTTACTTTTCTTTTTCTTTCCTATTTTTCCCACCAAAAGATGGCATCCCTACACTTCTGTCACCCCAATATCTGCTTCACTGTTGTGTTTGAGGGAAGGAAAAGTYGCTTCTGTTTCGGTATCACAGTGACAAGAACTGAAACTGGTGACTTTTTTGTGATGTTCGCTTATGGTATACAAACTCTTGCATTGAAAAAACCCTCAGAAATGTTTCTTCCCTCTTCCTCTTAGCAAGCCTTGCACCACAGATTTCATAAAACACATTTGTCTTCTGCCCAAAACACAATTTTTTGTCTCAAAGTCGTGTGGTTAAGGCAGAAGAAGTTTTCTTGTAAAACCTTTCTAATGCCTTAGATGATGATCCTTCAGAGTTGTCCACATGTGACATTCCTTGATGGTTGAGTCAGTGCTACAACAATACATGTATAGAAAAGAATGATTTTTCATGGTTGCATGAATGATGGCACAAACTGCAGAAATAAGAATTCTCCCACTGTGCATCATGGTTGTGTCCCTTACTGCTTTATGTGYCATCATTCTCTGATTGTCACCTCTCCCATTTTGCAGCTTAAAGGAAAATATGATGATGGAAGAATCCAAATGAGAAAGAAACTAATGCTGATTTAGTATTTTCAGAGAAAACCTGCCTGTAGATAATTCAGTCTTAGCAGTGTTGGTTTGCTGRTGTGCAGAGCATGCTGAGCTTGCCTACAGAGCATTTCAGTATCTCTGTAACTGAGTTACCCTTATCAAAACCTGCACATCCAGTTTGCATCATGGCCATAAAACTAATCTGTAGACTAATGATCCAGACTTATCTGTGATTAGTTTCTTCACAATGCACCTGACACCAGATTTGAAACAATAGGCAAGAGAATTGTGAGCTCCCAGAAACAATACATCACCTACTTCTAGAAATCTTTTCCAGTCTGGATAGTAGCTAACAGAGACTAACAGAGTTTTGTGCTCACTTTTCATGAATGRTTGCAATATATTTTTTTAACAGCTTCAGGTGTTATCCTGTTACAAGCACAGCTTTGGTCAGTTATTCTCAAAGCAMTTTTCACTGAAACTTGATTGAGAGATGTTTGTTTTCCTGACTTGTCCTCAATTTGCCTTTTGTGCACTGGAGTAAGGACTTCAAAGTGAGGTCTTGTTAAGTTTGGTCCTGCCTTTTTGGCCGAAGAACAATGATATTCCCCCAGGGCAAGTCAATTGACGCCAGGCTGAACTAACAAAGCATGTGTAACAGTATATAGGCAGCTCGAACTTGAGATGGTATCATTTTCTTTGTAAAAATTCGAGTCCTTGGCCAAGACACTGTAAACATGTTAAAGKCACATTCTTGAAACCCACTTCTTGAAGTCTAACTTTC